ATGATGTAGATTACTACAAATTTACAAGTTTGACTGACTGACTTCACGAACGAATTGAGTTGATTAAATAATTAATTATCCGATTTAATTAGTAATTTTGAGAGAGAAAGATCTATTATACTGAAGGTGGCATTCTTTGACTTCCATAATCCAAAATAAATTAAGGATTTAAAAATGGAAAAGAGCACAAATACATGCATTACAGCTCTTCCATTTGTTGATCATGTCAAAAGATTCTTAAATGTGAACCAAGAACTAGGAAAATACCTTTCTCTACGGAGAAACCAGATCCTATTTTCTTCAAAAATAAATTTAATATACAAATAATTAGTTACCCACCTGTTTATTTTTATAGTTTCCAGAAAGTGTTTCCAGAAGGGTGGCCATGGCCAGGCCAACCAAAGTCAACACGATAGCAAGAAAATCGGAACACTTTGGCTCAGAAGTTTGTTGTTGTTTGATATATAATTATATATACTTCCAATCTCAATCTTTTTGAAGGTCTAGTTCATACTTAATTTTTCCTTTTTTTCTCTTTTTTTTTCTTTTTTTCAGTGAAATAAAAGCATTTTAAGGTTGAAACTTTGACCCATCCGTGGGTACCCCAGATAGTTAGGGCGAATTGGGGATAGTGTGGATAGATGCACAATCTTAAGTTTGATTCCCCATATGAGCATTCGCAATTTAAATAGAGGCCCTATAACGGTGGATTGGTGCATTGGTCTGGAGGACTAGTCGAGGTATATATAAACTGGCCCGAACATCTTAGTTAAGAAAAAAATGTGGAAAGTTTGATTTCTCCACTGGGCATTTACAATAAATCAGTGATGACGCTTTTCTCATTTGGGATATTATTAAGGGGCAATGTTCACTCTTCTTATCGATCCCTAAATCATAATCCAAAAGTTGAGTATCGACAGGTATTGCACCCCAAAAAATTTTATTTATACATTGCATAAAACACATTTGTTTTATCTCCGTGCGTTCAGTGATGGACAATCTCATACTTTTAGTAAGAATATGAAATCTTTCTATTTCTAGATTCAAGTAAAACACATTTGTTTGCTCCCTTTATTGACTTTATAGATTCGAACCACTTTAAGATCGTCATTACATTTGTGGCTTACCTTGAAACATTGAACTGATAGGGTGTTCAATGGGCCCTAAGAATTAGTTAACAGTTCTCTCTAGAAATGGCCATGCCCGGTTTATCAGACACTATTCTCTTCTAGGACGGTACTTGTTAGTAGATCGCCTGCCAGTTAGCAGCTCCAAAAGCACTACTCCAAAGCTATACACATCACACATAGTTGTCAATTGACCTGCAAAATCCCATTATTGTCAGTAAAATTTTGGTATATATTTTTGAGAGGATTAATTGTGGAGTATATTACTACTTGCTTACCAATCATTATGTATTCAGGAGCTGCATAGCCATATGTGCCCATGATACGGGTTAAAATGTATGTGTCATCTCCTTCAGGACCATCTTTTGCCAACCCGAAATCAGAGCGCTTCGCGATATAATCCTGGAAAGAGAAGTAGAAAAAATTGATTAAAAATCTATCATGCAATTTGATGCTTAAGATTTGAATAAATTGCCTTGTCTAATAAGATGTTTGACGATTTTAAATTACTCGTCATTAATGCCCGCTCCTTGAGTGAAAAGATATGCAGATTTGATACAAGAAGAGAGTTTGATAGATCTTGTGGTGAAAATGGAAAGCTGGGGTTGCTAATGATGTAGAACGAATTCATGGAGGGGCTGAACATCAGAAGTCCATGTGTAAGGCCCAAAGGGCCTAAATGAGCATGTCCCATTCAAACGGCCATAATTTTTTATCGGGGAAGAGTTAAGAGGCCTGTAAGATACCGTTGGAAAGCTTTAGCCTATTGGAGGTCATTATCGAGGTCAAAATCCACCGTTTTGGCATGTTTTGGAGCTGTTTTAGATATTTATGCGTTTTTTCCTATTTTATTTCGGATTTTCTTGTTTTAATTGATTTAGTTTTTGTTTCCTGTTGTTATTATGAGCCTTATTAGGGTTGGTTGTCACCCTATATAGACTTATTTTTCATTTTGGAGAGCATTTAATAAACTATTTGGATTTGAATTTTGATTTTAAGTTTTAAGTTTCTGGTTTGAGACTTGTGTTATCAGTTCTAAAGGCGTAGTCGAGTGCTAGTCTTGTTTTATCACGCTATTCACTGCATCAGCTAACTTCAGAGAGCGATAGCCTCTGAATCTGAGGAGAAATCTGCTTGGGAATGTTAACTGTAGAAACAGGAGAACATGGCTTCTTGGCCTTGAAACAATCTAGAGAAACAATTTTGCCCCTCATCTTCTTCATAAAGAGAGCCATAAGAGTGTTTACAAAATATGCGCTGGATTTCTTTGACAAGTTCAATGATTTATATAGTTCATGTCAGCCTGAAACGAATAATTGATTACCGAGTTAGGAATTTGACATTGTGTACCTTGTGCAGAAGTCCATGGACTTGATGTAACAATACAAGTTTTGTACTCCATTGTCTTAAATGTGTTATTCTTCGCAACAAACAAAAGTCATAAATGTGTGAAACCAAGAATTTGAACTCTCCATTGTCTGAATTGCTTTTGATAATATATTTGGCTAAACTATTGGATAAAAAAAAGGCACAAACTCTTTTGATAAGCATCATCAATGGCATCAGCTAAATTAAGTATATCGACTGCATCAGCTTGCAAGAAAGTTAGAAGTACATTAATTAATCCAATTAAGTAGGACTATTGAAAGAGAAAGATGATAAGAGGCTGACATTCTTGACTTTGGTAATTCAGGTTCAGTAAATTAAAACTTAGAATCAACACGACTGAAAAATTCTTTGGATTATCAAACAAAATTAGTTTAATCTATATATAAATATGCTTCCAGAAAGGATGAAAAGTTCTTGGATTATCAAATAAAATGAATCTAAGAAGGTGGAAAGAGAAAATATAGATTAATACAAATAAAATACCAAAGTTTATAATGAGTCATTTTCTGGTGTCCCACCACATATTCTGGTTTTTATACTGATGAAACTATCAAGAAAGGGTATTATTATTGTACATAGACAAGTGTTGTGGTGGTGGTGGATTTTTGTGTCCATGTTTTTTAGATTTTTCTTTCTGGATTTTGTAGGTGACAGAATCAGAAAGAAGTCAAATTAGAATATTAATTGTTAGAGGTTGGAGGAGATAATCTTATATATTTATGAAAAGAAAAAACAATACTTGAAGTTGAAATGGAGAAGTAGAAATATAATTGTATGTGGTACCAATTCATTAATTAATTATAGTAAGAGTTAAGAGATGGGGTCGGGCGTGGTTGAAGGGGGGATGGCTTTAAGAAAAGGAAGGACTTTGTGTCTGCAACTTTTAATGATTTCAAGCAAACCACATTGATTAGAATTGTAAAATGGAATTCGGGCCGAGGATGGGATAAACCACATCCCTGCGGGCCAAGCTTGGGGATTCCCCATCCCAAGGACGGATTGGGCTTTGAATCCCCTTGGCAAGAGGGCCTGGAGACAGGGATCCCCGGTCCTACCCGGGCCCGTACCTATACTAATTCTAAACTTAATTAGGGTTTTTTTTGTTTTATACCATTTTTCTCAATCTCAAACTTAATTATGTTTTTTGTTTACACCCTTTCTCCCTCATTTTCCTAATTTAAAATTTGAAACTTACTGTTTCTTCTTCAAGTTCAGATTCATCATTCATCCCGTTTTGTGATTACTTTTTCCTTAGTTTTAATATTATATTAAGTAAACGACATTTTCCCACCCAAGGTTTGGCAAATCTTCAAGTTCCCACCCCTAGTTTCATAAATTGTAGATTCTCACCCTTAAATTAACAGAAAACAGTTTAATCCAACAATTAAAAGGGTAAAATAGTCATTTCAAATATTAAAATTTTAAAACGACCCTTCACTTCTCAAATTCACCCCACCGAAAAATTTTAAAATAACCCTTCATTTCTCAAATTCACTCCACCAGCGATTTCAGGCTATTCTGGCACAATCGACCCCTCCCAACACCACCATTACAATCCCCTCAACCCCCACATCAAAACCCCTAACTCCCCGCCTAATTGAACTCCCCAATCGCCGGCCGTCGCTTTTAGTGTCAATCGGTGTTTCATCCAAATTCTAGCAGGTCTTAGCACCGAAAACCACCCCTAAAACCACCAATAGCATCGTCGACTTCCCCCACCAAAACCCCCAACATCACCGACTACAATTGCCCGTCGATCATCGCTACCTCTCCCTTAGGTTTTCACGTTTTGTTGCCCCTTTCTAGCCAAATTCCGACACCTTGCCGATGTGCAATCGGATGAAAAAGTTAGGGGTTTTGGTGAGGAGGATAAAGGGATGCTGATAGTGGTGTCAGGGAGGTTCAATGGTATCAGAATCAGACCAGATTTTTGGCTTGGTCGGGATCTCCTCTGGGGGTTATTTGAGAAAAATTTGAAATGTGGGGTTATTTTAATTATTTTAAGAGAAAAATAACAGTGGGAATTTACAATTTATGAAACCAGGGGTGGGAACATGAGATTCGCCAAACCTTGGGTGGGAAAATGGTGTTTACTCTATTATATTTTATCAAACAAACAAAAATTTGAAATATAACAAAAGGACTCAATAATTATGAAAATTGAGGTTTAGGATTTATGTAAGGTTAAATGGTAAAAATTAAAACAAAAATATAAAGTATGAATGTATAAAAATTATAATATCATTTCTAGTAATTTTAATTATCGATCAGTTTGTCGAAACAAAAAATGTATTTTTATAGTAAGGGATATTGATAACCCCGTTTGTTTAATTTTTTTTTAATTTAAAGTAATTCAATCATCTTGAAACACGCCAATTTAACGATTTATACAAAAGAGTTCATATAGTAATAAGTTTGTAAACAAATTATTACTGTCTACTCTAATATTTGCTATGGTGAATTCCTAAAGATAAATATATTGACTTTATTGAGTACTACAGTAAAAATTTTACATTTCATCCCAAACAAAATAGTATACAGAAACATAGCCAGGAAAAACATGGCCGTTTTACCAGGGGATAAAGAATTAAAACAAAAAGACTGTCAAATACACACATTAGACGAATAATATTAGAACTTTGAGAAGGTAATATTATAACAAACTCTTCAACTTCTTCATGAGCAAAAACGCCTTTTTCCCGGAAATCTACAACTACAAAAACAATGCCGAAGAAAAAAAAAATTAGTCACTCTGTATGAAGCGGTTAAAAAGGTGCGATAAGAGGTTTTAGTAAGATTAGGCGAAAACGAAATGTCCTATGTACCTCAGTTTCATTGAATGGACAATGGACATAAATTGCTATTTACAAAAAGAAATCCTGCAGAATATGCCAGTATAAGTTTAACAGAAAGAATTTATTGATTTGAATGGAGAAAGAATCTGATGCCGAGACATTCGCACCTTTGATGAACAAAAAATGGATTGCGGCGATCCATAACAGAAATAGAATTTTCTTTTGTGCTGCTATCTGAAAACAAGGCTCCCGTTTTGTTGGAGTCTTAGTTTTTCAATCAGTGATTGATAGGACGATTTTAATGCCTTAATATCACTACCCTGCAAATATTGATAGCATATCATAAATTAGAGAATGCTTTCCTGTATGATATGCATCGACTAATTAAAATGTCAAACACCAAATTTAACTACTGTACTGCTATTAGATGCAACACTTCCCATTTCAATGAATTTACAATGGTCAACGGGTAGGGGGTGTAAACTACAGGAATTACTGACCAAAGCTCAATCAGCTTCCAAGGCAAATTTAAGCAAATAAGCTCCAAATTTAAGGCCAAAAGGTTTGTTATTATATAATTTCTCGCTCCAGTTTGGCCAACATCCCAGCTTGAGCAAAGTATAAATGGATTATTTCAACAGTACAGATCGTGTGCAAACATGGGCCAGAAAATTTACTAGGATTAAACTCTGGATTACTGAATGGCAGTCCAAATCATACGAAACGGAGGCCACAACTTTAAAATAACGAAGGAAATTTTCTTTTAACTAGAGGTCCTGCCCAGACTAGCTTTCAACGATAAGATGGATAAATATATAAATCCATAGCAAAGGCTTCATTTTCATATGCACATGCATACTAACAAAATGCACTCTAGGAAAAAAACACATTATTTCATTACCTGCAACTTTTGACAGTATTGCTCAGCCAAATCGTGAGGGCAACATGCGGAAGGAAAGTCTTTTGATACAAGATGGATAAGAAAATCATTGCCAAACTTTTCATACATGACCTTCTGAGCAGTCACAATTTCTCCAAATAAAACAAGCTGGAAAACAGCCAAAATAATATTTGTAAATAAATAGGATTTCCAGAGAATATGCTCAGTAAAGATTACAAGAAGCATATAAAAAGATATCAATTAGTCGAAGACCATCAATCAAGAAATTATAAAACCTATTAGCACACAAATATTTAAAAATAAAAAACAAAGCACATAAAAGTGAAGAGTTTCTTACTGTATTTGCATCTCCAAACTCAAAGGATTTGTCAAGCACGCTGTACAAACAACAATCCCTTGCAAAGATTTCAATTATAAAACTTTGGAAACCAGGCACCTAAGCTCCATCAAATATTAGCCCCATTAGATTCAGAAAAGTATGCTCAATATGATAACGATAAAAAAATTTAATGGAGAGCAAACCTTTTCTTCCCCATAAGGCCTGACACACCAATCTTTGATTAATCTAATAAATATCTGCACACATGCCTATACAGAAAATAAAACTTTTAGGTTCACTCTATAGTATTCTAGTATTTTAGAAATCACAATCCTTCCAAAATAAAAATGAAGAAAATCTATATGCAGTGAAGAAATGATAACTTGGATGTATTACACATACCTTTCTCACAAGATAATCCTTATGATTACAAGATGTAGACAATAACAATTGCATTATTGGATCCAAGTAGCTCCTACTTTTGGGGGAAAGGAACACTGAAGACAGATCATGTGTGGCTATCACATGAAGAAATGTATACAATGTCCTCTGAAGCTCTTGCAATTCACGAATTTCCTACAAGGAAAAAAAAAAGTCGCAATAAGCAAAAAATTGCTCAACATACCATCTTCACAGTAGGAGTCTGAAGCACTATTTAAGACTCCAGTATGCAAAATACACGCGCATTGGAATCTAATTTTAAGCTAATGCAATGAAAGCCACATGTGGCTAAGAATTCAAATATTTGAGCTACTCAGCATAGAGTTTTGAACTAGGTCAATCAGCCATGCAATCAAACTGTGAATATATACTCATAACATTTGACTGGAATATAAAAGCATGCATCGCATCAAGGCTGTTGAACCATTCACATGTTTTCTAAGAAATTTAGGGAAGTGTCACTACACTAGAGGTTGTACCTCTGTATTGGTTCCAGGTCCTGAAGGAAACCCATCCCTTGGTATAACATTAAATATCCTTCCAGCAATAGCAGGAAATATTTCATCCAATATGTCACGCACTGAGGTGTTGAATTTACATATCAGTTGATTAAGTAATACAAGGAAGCCAACCATTTCCTTTGGCTGCAACACGAAAAATCCAAAGTCAGACAGTAACATCACATGGGTAAAAAAACAACAGAAGAGCACATATATTTAACAACTAGATGTTCACAAGGCCAAAAACCACTTCATTTCTAGTAATGAGCAGGAGACCTAATGTCACTACGGTTCTAAAAGGTATACACAAAAGATGATCATGTTTTTGACACGCAATCAGCCTATACACAGCAAGAAAATGGCTCTTTCAGTAGGTGCATCATATTCCAACACTATTGACAACTGGCAACAGATTTCGCACAGAAACAGTGACAGGGTATGCCAACCAGATCAGCCACCATAGTAACAGAATTAGATGTATTATAATTCGCATAGGCTTCTCAGATTCTAAACTTCAATTAATTTAAATACCCAAAAAGATGTATCCAGATGAGATCATTTGCTCGCCATACACATGAGAATGTAAACACAAGTTATAATAAAAAAGAGCATAGTTATAAATGATCAATGACTGCACTGTAGCATGTGAACAACTGGTTCCTTGGGTATAGAATTTAAACCCACCCTCAAACCCCCAAGAAAAGAAAAAGTATTATACTAAACCGGTTTCCACAATACCTCACTTTCTGCAAGCAATTGTCCCAATGCCTTAGGAAGATAAGGAAATACAGATGATCCCAGAGTGTCCACCATCCTATGTATGAATGAGGTGACCTGTGAATACCAAAATGTAAGATTTAGGCACTATGTACAGTCAAGAAAACAAGAAAATATTGCTCACATTATTCCATAAATAACTCTTACCTTGCTCCGCAGAGCCTCTACCCTTGGAAATACCACGAGAATTTGAACAAGGACATCTAATGTCTGGATCATAAAGAAAGCAAACCCATTAGTATGAAAGGGAAGAAAAAGAGACCATTTTCAATATCAAGTCTGCTGAATTCATATGTTATCACTTATTAGATAAGTAAATACCTAAAATAAATAAAAAAAGGATTAAAAAAAAAAAAAGCCATGTCTGATCATTTATAACTTGTAATATCAACTGTGAAGTAATATCAACTGTGAAGTTTCATACACTCCTTAAGTTTAAATCCATAAAATTGACATAAAACTCAAAAAATTAAATGACATCATGCTTACAAGAAAAATACAGAAATCCAAATTCAATTACCAACCTGCTTGAACATGAGACCAATTGCAGGGCGACTACTGGTTACAAGACGCTCACTGAAGCCCTGAATTACAAATGAATTTGTGAGGGAAAATTGCATATATATAAATAAAAATCCAACTAGCAACAAAACCATATACAGAAAATAAAAAATGAAAGCAAAAAAGTGGAGAAAAAGAACCTTGCTAAGAGAATTAATAGCCATGATTATTTGCTGGGCATTCGCAATTTTTACAGGGGACTCTTCAGGATTTAAAGCTTTTGCATTCTGAAGCAATGCTTGAACCTGGATACTAACAAGACAACTTCAGAAAACATATACTATGGAATTGCCTAAAACACTAGGCATATGAAACATAATGCCTCAGGAAATGCATGTCAAATAAGATTGGTTACAGTGTCAAGCACATGAAGAACTTTGAGGAGGAACTTGAGAAATGTACATAAACACAAGATTGTAATAAGTTTAAGCACATGAATTACAAAAGCAAACATATAAAGGATTCCTAAACAAATAGAGATTTAATAACCATAACCTGTTGACAAAGGGGAGTGAGCAATGAAGAGAGATAATCTGATTGCTTTTCCAGCAGTACATCTTCCATCCCAATCAATAAACCAATTGCCTGTGAAGTTTGAACAAAAGTTAGAACCAAAAAGAGCACCCTAAACCTCTCTGAAGAATAACTTCTACCACTTCAAGCCATCTTTTTAATATGTAGTGTTAATACATGCATATTATATACATAAAAGAGACAGGACCAAATACCTCAAATATGTGACTGCCATCTTCGGATCCCGAAAGTTCTTTCGATGAATAATTCATACTCGTAAAACGAGCAACTGTATCTTGCAAGCTCTGACAATAGATTAATAAGAATCAGGATACATAGAAAGAAGCAAGGTATTCTATATGATACGTATATACAGAAAAAAAACAAAAAGTATATATGATGAAAATACTTAAAGGTAGAAGACAAGTAGATGATACCTGCAAAATTTTCTCTATATAAGGTACAAGCTATGCTTTCAAAAGTTTCACAACCCTCATGAACAAATAACTTGCCCTACGACTAACATGGATGTTCGGATGGTGTATACCCCTGTCGTCAAGAAAGGCACCCAGAACCATAGGAATATACTGGATGTTCTCCTGAACAAACTTCATATATCTTGTAACAGTCTCCAAATACACAAGTGCAACTAACCTATTAGAATGGCAAGGAAGCCTTGTCTGTAAAAGCATGGGCATCAACTCACTCAAGAATCCACTTCCGGATCTCATTGCCTCATCACTCATAGACTCCCCAAGTGCATATAAAAGGGAAAGTGCAGCTTCCATCTCTTCAACATTTCTGTCGGGGGAGGATACAACAGAACTAACTAATGCAGTTCTAATAAATAACTGAGTCACATCAGGTGCTACACGACCGACACTGCGCAGCAAAACAAGTAAATCCTTTCTAAACTCCACCATTCTGGCTTCCTCTTCTATCCCAATTTTATCCAATACATCAAGATGATCTCGGTACACAGGCTCATAACAAATCTGTGTACGAATTACTTCCAATATCTGACCCACATGCAACAGTTGTTCCTCTCTCAACGGCGAAAGGCTCCTCATAGTGGCAACATAACCTGAAAGAAACTGGACAATACTGAATGTGGTGTCTATCTCACAATTCTGCATGACATAAAATACTGAAGGCAAAACTTCATTCAACAGCTTCATTGAAACCCCAGTAACATCTTCTGAATTCAACCGTTTAACGCACTCTAGAGCCTCCACTGCGTATCCAGTAAGCAATGCAGCTACCTCTGAAACCAACTCAGATTCAACATCCCCAGAGACCAAACCAAAAACCCGACTTATTTGGAGTCTTTGCAAAAGGCATAGTTTTGATTGTGGATCCATCCTTTTAGAAACCACAGCCAGAACACACCGCACAGCTGCACCACGGAACCGTTCCGACAACCCGTCCCCCAAAATCAACTCAAACAATAATGGAATAAATGCATCATTCACTATCAAATTAATATCAATCCAAGATATGTACCTCCTCATGCAATCCAAAACGCTAGTACAAAGTTCAAAATCCGAATTCCTATACATTGTCACAATTTCATACCATGCTCTAACAATCTGCTCCACACATTGCTGCCTCATTGCATCCTTTACTCTTCCAGCCACAGCTATTTCCTCAGAAGTTCGCAGATAATCTAAACTAATCAGTTCATCATCCAACGAATTCAAAACCCGGCAAAACATATCAATCACAACAGAACCTTTACTTAAATGAGGCAAAAAATCAACAAACACTGAGGACCAAATTAAAGGGTACTCAAAATAAATCAAAGTAACCAACACTTGAGCAAGCTTGTTCCTTATATATGGAGGACTCTCTAAAACCCGAACAGCACTCTTGTTATCATCAAAGAACTCATAACAAGCCATCGAAAACACGGATTTCCGAATAAAATTCTTCTCCTCTACACTCATCAATGCATATTTAACCTTAATAACCTCATATAAAGTCTGTAAACACCAAAACTGAACCTCCACAAGCTTGCAAAAGTAAAGCTTTTCAATGCAAATAGTACATATCAATGGCGCCCCTTTAATCTGCTGACAAAAACTCACTGCTTGTGATTTCAGCGCTGAATCAACAGCACCCGATTGATCAAAGCTAAAACGTATCGCCTTTTCAAGATCATCCATTGGTTCAACCGCTCAAAACCCTTAAAACAAAACACCCACAAACTTTTTCTTCACTTTCTCTTCAAATCCCAATAAAGTTCAGATTTGTCCCTTGATTTTCTCAAATCTCATCCGGGTTTTTCTGGGTTTTTAGGGTGTTTCGGTACAACAAAGAAAAGGGTTTTTGAAAGCTTACCTTAAATTTGTGATCAGATGAAATTGAGAGATCTTTTATAATGTGTATTACGTTTGTTTCTGTGCTTAGGGTTTTGTGTTCTATAAAGAAACCCTAGGGCGTGTTTGGATTGGATTTTAATTTTATAGCTTTTTAAGATTTTCTTATCACAGAAGGACGAAAAAAATATATGTGAAAGCAATGAGGAAGAAGAGTTTGAAGCGAAGATTTTATATTGGCTGTTTAATTACTATTATACCCTTCCAATTTGAATGTAAACAGGGCTTTGTTGTGATTTGATCCTTTTGATTTTACAACAGATAAATAGATGCGGTAACGTGGCAGAATCTTAACCGTGAAATACTTTTGTGATTCGGTGGGTCCATGGTTTCTAGGTGAATCAAGGAGAGAACAAGAATGTTGAGAATTGTGGAAGGATTTTTTAATAATTATGCTTCCACTAATTGTGGTTGAGTTTAAAAATTTAATGAGGGTATTATTGGGATTTGGATTATTTGTTTAGTCTATTAAGCCCAAGCCCAAGTCAAAACCCAAACCCAAACCCAAGCCCAAGCCCAAGCCCAATATGTGAATAATGAACTTCCAAGAGTGGTTTGTTTCAAAGTTTAATTTAAACAGAGGTTCTGAAAAAGATTTGAACCTCTTGAATTTACTTTTAAAAAAGTTTTTTTAATATATTATAAAATCATGTTTTGAATTACAGAGAATCTTTCCTATAACAATCATATGTAGAATCAACCAATCATAAGATACATGAATGTCGTAATAGATATACGATGTCATTACACATACAATTGTTATAAGAATTTTATTGGTTTATTCGAGTCTTAATTAATTTTTCTTGTGAAAATGATTTAAACTTAAGAAAAATAAATAAAATAATTGATATCTCATAAGCCCAAGCTTAATGGGTATCAAGCCCAAAAGTATCAATGCCCCTCACAAATGTTCCACAATTGACCATAAGACATGATAAAATAATAAAAACTCTCATTAGAATTTATATTTTATATATTAGTAGTTGTATTTATCTCCCATTGTCAACTTGGTAGACCATTATGGTGTATATATATATATGATTGGACTCCCTTCTCCCTTAAACTAACTTTTGAAAGTGAGTTCTATCCAAACTCGTTTATCATGGTATTAAAATTACGTTTGTTTGCGTGAAGAAGGGTGTTAGGAGTACTGTTTTAAAAATCGAACCGGACCGGCCAGTCGAATCGGTTGGACCGGGAACCGGCAGCTTCTCTGGTCCGGTTTAGGTCTCAGGGGGGCTTTTGAAATATTTTAAAATTATGATGATTACTTTGTAATTTTATAGGGGTATTTTAGAGATATATCAAAAGTTTAGGGATTAATTGGTAATTTTATTGTGGCATTTTTGGAATAGATAAAAATTTTAGGGACCAATTTGAACTTTTTAAGGGAAATTTTTGTAATATATTGAAATTTAAGGGGTTAATAGTAATTTTTTAAAAATAAAATATTGCTGACATCATCGCTCCAACCGGTTGGACCGGTTGACCCGTGACCCGGACAGCAAAACGGTTTGTCCTTAGATCCGGTTTTAAAACAATGGTTAGGAGTTGTATTTAGTTCTCTCATCTCTTGAGGTAATTTTTGGGAATGAGTCTTAATCAAACCCGTTTATCATTATGAATTGATATATATTTACCTAAATGTTTTTATGTCCTATAGTTTATTTTAACATCTAAAATTTAACAATAAGAGAACTTTTGTTAGTTAATCAAACCCCCAAAGAATCATGCAATTAAGCAAATCTGAATTAGTATTAGGAATGTTGGATATTTTAGAAACGTATATTTCTTAAATTAGTGATAACTAGAAGCCACACTCAAGCAAGTAATTTGAGTACGGACAAAATGGTAGTTCCACAAGCGTCTAAGCAAAGTAACACATTCAACACGCGCTAACTCATGCAATGGTGTTGGTTTGCACGTTTCATCAGACAGTTTGTGATTGTGATTAAGTTGCCTTCACTGCCCAATCACATGTTCAAGCCTTTTTTGCACATTCTTTCCAAGCTTTCTCTTCACATGCATAATACAAACCAAATGCCCAACACCCCAATAATATTGGGTAATGCTTTGGATATTTATGGATTCTACAAATTGGTGTACTAACTTAAAGCATAGTACGTGTACCATGTACATAGTATGTGTATTATGTGTGATTTTAACAAAGGTTAATACATTGGTTAGTAAAATCCGTTAATACGTACAGTATTATTTATAATATTACTATCATCATTTAATCTCAAAATTCTATGACAGAACAATTTAGATATTTGGTTGGGACTTACAATATTTGGTTGGGTCTTTGGATGTGACAATCAATATTTGAGTGTATTTGTGTTCAGGCAAAAATGTTTTTTCTTTTTTTTTTCACCAAAAACGCGTCTATTTAGTTATAGAAACTCAAACATAATAAATTGAAAAGTTAGATTACTTTGAAGATTATTAGAAATCTTTAGGAAAATGTGTTTGGTTAATTGGTGAGTATGTTATTTTAATATGTTTGGTTGTGAAGAATAAATTGGTGGATATGTTATTTAAATTACTGAATTGTTCTCTAATTAAATATTATTATTATATTATTTTTTAATATTGATTATTATTTGGATTATTATAACCCTCCTGCATTTAAAAACTTAGCAAAAACAATCTCATAATAAAAGTTTAAAAAATCAACAAAGCACTCCCACCAACCCAGCCACTGTCGGCTGTTGGCAACCACTGCAGGTCACTGATAACCGACAATCTAACGGCACACAGAAGATAGGAAATGGCCTCTATGCGCCGTATGGCCATTTTCGGCCAGAGATCTGGTTGGAAATGGCCATATCGGCGTACGCCGGCCTTTTTGGCCTTCCATGCGCCGTTCTGACGGGCGCGATGGTGGTTGCCTGCGACAAGCGATGGCAGGTGGGTAGGGGTGGTGGCGTGGTTGAGCTGCAATTTGTTTTGAATTCAAGGATAATTTTGTCCAAAAAGTTAATTAATTAGGATGAAATAGTGAAAGCTATATTCATATAAATAAATTTAAAAATAAGGGCATTATTGTCCTAAAATTTTATTAATAAGGGATATAATTGTAACAAAAAAAGATAACCTTAGTAATCTTAGAATATCTAAGAAAATAAAGGTAATAAGATTTCTTCCAATATTACCAATAGTAACCACTATTGGTATTTGAAGATCACCAGTATCTTATATTATTTGACAACCAAACATGATAATCAAGTAACATAAGATGACTTAACCCTAATAATACCAGATAACTCTCAACCAGACGCCCGCTCAATATGATTCTACTTAATATTATGATTAATTTGTACTAATTCTCATGTGATAGTTGTTATTGGTTGGGTGATGTAATAGAATAGTCTCCTTCCATTTATTTCATAGTTTGAACTTTGAAGTTCTTGTACCAATTGGGCAATTAGTGTGGACTTAACACCAAAACGACACCGCACAAATTTGCGGAGACTGTGCTGAGTCTGCTGACAGACCAGACCGCCAAGTCGGCACAAACACAAAAGCAGCACGTGCGTGAAGTTTGACAGTACGGGACAGTGATTGTAGCCAAACAAAAACCCGCACCTACTGTCCGTCATTGCAGGGGCACGTGGAGGACGCAACGGCTGACCAAATGGCGCTGTTCTTTGCCACGTGCTGCTCAACGGCGTTCACGAAACACTGAATCAGAGAGAAAAAAACAAATAAAGAATCAAAGAAATGGAGTGTGTTCTTATCGTGGACTTACATGTTCTAGAGGTTCAAAAGGATGGTGACATGGAATTATCACTGACTTTTACTTGTGTTGTCCATATTACCCCTCTATGAATTTTTTTTTTTAATTTTAAGTTATTATGAGAAAAAAAAAACTTAATACATTGCTCAATTAAAATTAATTAAAGAATTAAACAGTAATATTTAATTAAAATCAAAATCAATTCTTTAGATAATTAGATAATTTATTTCAAAATTTTACAAATTTGAAAATATTTCATAATGTTAAATTTTTATAATTTTTAAAATTTTTTAAAATTCCAAAAATCTTCAAACTGATTAATACTCGTTAAAGTTATAGTCCGACGACTTTTTGGCATGTTTGAACAACATGATCAATGCATGGAGAATAAGCAATGAACGATATGCCAATTAGGGTAGATCTCAATCATGTACGACCGGCGATGTGACGCCATTCGTGATTATTGCGATCAACAATCATAATGAGTGATGTCATGTTGTCGGTGGTATGAGGTTGTGATGAGCTCAAATTGACATATCTGATCAAATGCGTTTATCTCACTTAAGATTTTTTTTAGGGTTGATTTTCTATTTTCATATAAAACCTAGTCAATATTAAATTTAAAAAAAAAATCTATATAATTAATATTTAAATATTGTCATTGACTAAATATAAATAAAATCTTAGTTTAAAATTCCCATAAATCATTTTACTATTACAGTAAAACCTCTCTATATTAATACTCTATATAGGAATAAACTTTATATTGTAATAAGTTATAATTTTTATGATTCCTGCCTTAAGAAAAGTTATCTTTACATAGTAATAATTATCTGTATATTACAAAAAGAAAAAAAAATTGTTATGTTACATTTAAGGTTTAAGATGAAATAAAATATTTATCTAAAGTTGTTTGAGACAATGATTTATGCTTTATAATTGTTACTACATCTTTTATCTGGTAAGTATGTAATAACTCGTTAGTATTGACATCTTCCTTGTTAAAACCAAAATATTTTTAACTTCTCAAGCATGTTTAAAGTTTAATGGCATGAAACTCTTTGTAATTTCATACTATCATCTTTAGGATTATTTTCTTTCTCTTTTTGTCTAATTACAACAATAATTTCTTCATTGGTTAAAGCATACATGATTTGTTGCTTATTTGGATGATCGAGGAAAACATTAATATCCATTTGATTAGTGTAGTAAAATTGTCAAATCTGATCACTGAATTCTGCAATGACTCTTTTATTCTTCTCATCCACTTTATTCGTAACTTTTAATTCATCGACATTGGGGGGTCCTAATTTTGCTGTGCTTAAAACCATTTGCAATTATCTGTGGCTTTATATTAATTGACTATGCATCAACTGCATTTACAGTTCCATCAATGACATTGATTTTTGCTCGTTCCAAGATACAATCTTCTATTCGTTTAAAAAATAGACAATTGAAAGGTTGAATTGAAATCCTAATACTGTATTACTAAAACGTTAACTATAAAATAAAAAATTAAAAAAAAAAATTTTGTAACTACACCTCCATTAAGTTATAACCTCCTCATAGTAATAAAATTAGTTAGTTCCATCATTATGACTATAAAGAGGTTTTACTATGTTATCTCAAATCAAGACTTTGCTTAAATTTTCATAGAAATATACCTGTTTGAAGTTAGAGAAATTATAGGTCCGTTTGTTTTATTATTTCATACCCTATTCCCAAAATAACTGTTTGTTTAACTATTTAGGAAATGCTATAATATTTTTTTTATTACTTTTAAAACCCTTAAGTTTATTAATTTCATAAACACCCTTAGAAAAAAAGTTTAAAAATTAACAAAAATATCCCCACCCACCCATAATTGCCAGATTCCGGCAACCACCGTCGGTGGTAGCCGAAATCTATTGCAACGACCTACAAATGACCAGAATTGGCCTGTAATTCGTCGATCTGGCCTTTTCCTGCTAGATCCGTGGTAGATCTGGCTAGAAAAGGCCAGATCGATGCACTTCCGACCAGATCCAATCGGTCTGCGTCGTAACGGAAGATTCCAATCAGATTCCGACGGTGGTGGTCGGAATCTGGCACTATGGGTGGGTGGGGGTGTTTTTGTCATTTTACAAAAATTTTATATATTGGGGTGTTTAGTTAAATTAGCAAACCTAGGGGTTTTTTTAATTAATTTTAAATTTTACCTCGTAATAATCACCCTATTCAACTATCCAATATTATTTTTAAAATCATATCCAAAATAACAAACCAAACGGACCCTATAATTTAAAATTAGAGAAATTATAATTTATATACTAAGAAGTCAATATTCTTAACCTTTTTTTTATTTTTTATTTTTATTTGGGGGTAATTCAATATTCTTAACTTGATATCCCTTAGACTCCTTTATATCCCACCAAATCTAGAATAAAGTATTTAGGAGATCTAATTTATGGCACCAATAAGAGCCATTGGATTGCTTAGTGAACCAATCAATGGTTATGGATGTGACAAATCCACCACCATATAAAATCATGATATTTTATTTTTATGATAAAATATTTAAGTGGAATCTCTCTTATTTTTATGACCCTACCCAACTTGCCATGCACTAAAAGTAGGGGATTACATCACTACAATGTTCCTCGAATCACAAGCAATAAATAAATAAATAAATAAATAAATAAAATTATTTTTTATATTATTGAGTTCCAATGACATGGTCGTTCCAACAATGGATTAAATTATGATTAAAGAAAAGGAAAATTTAATAAGAGGATAAGATCAAACAAGTTATAATAAGTTAACCAAGATTTTCAATGTTGGGATAAAGTTGTCGCACTAATCAAATCATGTAGTAATAAATAAATAAAATTAATATATCATTTAACACATTTCATTGACTCGTATGGATTTCTGATAATTTTTTTTAATCGAGTATTCGAATTAGTTTGTCGTACATTTTAATTCATTATCAGGGTTTATTAAATACCCTAAATAAATAATAATTGTGATAGGTCCCATCTTTAGGTAATACACTCGGATGACTAAAGTTTTATTGTCCGGTCACAAAACTAACTATTCTTAATTATTCTTTTTCTTGTCTTTTATTTCTTAATTTTTTCATAAAAAAAAATTTGATTAAAGGGAAATAAAACATGTATGTTCAATATAATTCTACCATCAAAATGATATTTAGAATTTTTTTTTAAATGATACATATTTTGAAAATTTAAAATTTAATTATTTTTATAATGTTTTGGAGTATTAAAATTTCAAATTTCAAATTAGTATTAATTAATCAATAAGAATTTTATAATTAAATATCCCACTATAGAAAATACGGAAAATACCGTTAAATCCGGTATAAAGCGAGGACAAAACGGTAATTCTACTATCGTATTCCCCGGCCACCAACCAAAGAAGAACTTAAGAACCAGAGGAAAGAGAAATTACATTCGCAAGAAAAATCACAGAAAGCAGGAAAGAAGGAAAAACGAAATTCTCTAACACGCAAATTTCAACATCTCTTTGACTTTCTGGTTTTTTCTTCATAATTCTTTGGCTTCAACGCTGTAATTTTTTTTTTCTTTTTTTTAAATTTCGGCTTCTCTTGTTTACAAATCTGTGTATATAAATTTATAAATTCGACCTCAAACAAACAGAGCTTTTGTTTCCAGTCAATCTCTCAAGTTTTTGGGTTCTGAACCAGATTGGGTGTGTTAATTTAAGTGGGTTGTTCCCAAAAATTTGATTTTGATAAAGATATTTTAGTTTCACGATCTGGGTTGATTTCCAAAGTGTGTGATTAAAAACGTCATGACAGAAATTACGTCAAACAAATCTGCATAGTTTCTGTCTTTTTGATTCTAAAATTCAATTCGATCTCTCAATTTTACTGGGTATTTCTCAAAATTTGATTTTGTATAAACAAAAACTCAAGATTTAATCAATGACGGGCATGGCGGTTCCGGCAATAGCTCTTTACGCGAGTCCACCGAGCAGTGTGTGTTCCTCAGCTCACCAGATCAACGCCCACACAACGTACGACCTGGACCTCAACTCCAGATCTTCATCTTCAACTCCCTGCTCTACGGCGCCGTCTCATAAACAAATAATCGGTGGGCTGTCCTGCTTGTTCTCTTCTTCAAGTACTGACGTGGCAGCTTCCTACAATCGAGGGGAAGATTTGAAGGAGCTAAGTAGCTCATTTGGCTATTCTTACGGGTCCATAAAGAGGGAACCCAGTCCGGTCTCAGTTTTTCAGGGCCCGGTTTCGTGTAGCGGGTCAAGAAGTAGTCCCATAAGTGTTTCATTGAAGGGGAGTAGTGGGTTGTTCAATGGATTTGTGAGGAACGCTTTGGGGTCCTGTGTTGATTATAATAATTATAATCCTCCAAGCTTTGAGGTTGATGATAGTGGGGGTTTAAATGTGGGTTCATCTTCAGTTTCAGTTCATGAATTAACGTTTAATATGGAGGATAGTATCGTGGAGGGTACTGTAGAGTCGTATGCTAAGGATTTTCTTGCTGATGCACAAGCTAGACACAAGATTTTTTGTGATGATTTCGTTGTCAAGGCGTTTTATGAGGCCGAGAAGGCACATAGAGGGCAGGTAAATGAAGAAAGGATGGGAATTGGTTTTGATTTTGAATGAATTTTGTTGTTTTCATAATTTCTGATGTGGGTTGTGTTGTTTATTTTTTTTGTTGTAGATGCGGGCGAGTGGGGATCCATATTTGCTGCATTGTGTGGAAACTGGAGTGTTGTTGGCAACGATTGGTGCTAATTCTACCGTGGTGGCTGCAGGGCTTTTACATGATACGCTTGATGATTCCTTTTTGAGTTATGACTACGTTCTTAGAACATTTGGAGCTGGAGTTGCTGATTTGGTTGAAGGGGTAAGAAAGAGCGTTGTTATTGAGAATGTTTATGAGAATTTTTTTTTTTTCGTGCATGGAATTTATACGTGGATCAGACATTTATTGGTTGATAAACTTGAGTTGTTTGTATTGAGCACAAGAAACTAACGTGAGCAATCTTTTATGATTAGCACATTTGATTTTCAAAGCAGTTGCGTTTAAAGATATGTGGACAAATGTTGCAGATACAACAATTAGGCATTGAAGAAATTGATTCAAATGAATAATTAAAGATAAATATTTATGCAGGCTTGTCATATATTTAGTGTATGACTAAGAGCGTTCTTTTTCTTTCAGTAAAATGTTTGATCAGTGAATGAATCTGATTGAGATTTTTATGCCTTTTATTAGGTATCTAAGCTTAGTCAGTTGAGTAAGCTTGCACGTGAGAACAACACTGCGAGCAGAACAGTTGAAGCAGATCGACTCCACACCATGTTCCTTGCCATGGCAGATGCTAGGGCTGTTCTTATTAAACTAGCAGATCGATTGCACAACATGATGACGCTTGATGCTTTGCCTTTGTGCAAACAACAAAGATTTGCGAAGGAGACATTGGAGATATTTGTTCCCTTGGCTAATCGTCTGGGTATCTTCAGCTGGAAGGAGCAACTAGAAAATCTATGCTTTAAACATTTGAAACCAGATCAGCACAAAGAATTGTCTTCTAAGGTTGTAGAATCTTTCGATGAGGCAGTGATCACTTCTGCAATCGATAAATTAGAGCGGGCTCTCAATGATGAAGCCATCTCTTACCATGATTTATATGGACGGCATAAAAGCTTGTATAGCATTCACTGCAAAATGTTGAAGTATGCTCTCTCTCTCTCTCTCTCTCTCTCCCCCTCTGTATATATTTTACTGCTGATAAAAAATTGTGTTAGTGATGATTGTAAGAAACTTTATGATATCAAGAATCAGTATGTCAAGACATGTAGTTGCTGTAATAAAACTCCCATAAGCAGTCTGATATTAGTTAATAACCTTGTGCAGAAAGAAGCTGACCATGGATGAAATCCATGATATTCATGGGCTGCGTTTGATTGTCGAAAATGTGGAAGACTGTTACAAGGCATTGAATGTCGTGCACCAGCTGTGGGATGAAGTGCCTGGAAAGTTGAAGGATTACATAGCACACCCCAAGTTCAATGGGTATGTTGTACCTCTTTAGTATTGGTATTTTCATGATTATAATAATATAATTTATTATTCATGTTTGTCTAACTCTGAGCTTACACTACAGGTATCAGTCTCTTCACACAGTAGTGATGGGTGAAGGCGTGGCTCCCCTTGAAGTTCAGATTCGAACGAAGCAGATGCATTCACAAGCTGAGTTTGGATTTGCAGCTCATTGGATATACAAGGAAGGTGACTGCAAGTATGCTTCTTTTGTGCTTCAGATGGTTGAGTGGGCACGATGGGTTCTCACCTGGCAGTGTGAAGCAATGAGCAAAAATGGGTCTTGCATTGGCTATGCTGATTCCATCAAGCCACCCTGCAAGTTCCCCACCCATGCTGACGACTGCCCATATTCTTATAAGCCTCAATGTAGCCAAGATGGACCTGTCTTTGTCATCATGATTGAGAATGATAAGGTCTGATTAACCATCTATTACATTTCTTTTGTCATCTTAATCCATTACTTTAGTGGCATGGATTGAACATGTTTGGTGTTCGAATGTTGCAGATGTCAGTCCAGGAGCTCCCTGCAAACTCCACGATAATGGATTTACTGGAAAGAGCTGGACGGGGAACCTCAAGATGGTCTCCACATGGTTTTCCTCTAAAGGAAGAATTGAGGCCAAGGCTGAACCATGAGCCAGTGGGTGATCCCACATGTAAATTGAGGATGGGGGATGTGGTGGAGCTCTCTCCAGCCATACCTGACAAGTCTTTAACAGAGTACAGGGAAGAAATCCAGCGAATGTATGAGCGCGGCCTGACCGTTTCAAGTTCAGGGCCTGCTGCTACCAGTGTGGTTGGATGGAGAAGCTGACCATTCCCTCATTCTTGGTTTTACACTATACCATTTAGTCACAATTGGTTATTCTTGTAAATACATGATAAATGTCTGTACAGAACGACTATATATGTTTCTGCCATGAGGAAGCAATATCTAACTGGATTCAACAAAGTGCTAAAACGATTGATTTCACAAATTCCTTTATGAATGAAATTATATTTATATTTCCACTGTTCTTCTGCATTCCAATTTGTTCATATTTTGCTTTTCTAATATGTGTGAAGGAAGCTGATCCTTCCTGGAATTAGTATCTCAGTGCTTGCTTCAAATAGTATGAAAGATTTGCCAAAAAATGTATAAAAGATGTCTTGGAAAATGATAGTCACCGAAAATACTCACCGAATCTGTGCACCGAATGACATGACAAAATCTTGACCGTTGATTAATATCAACTGATAATGAATAAACGGTTAGATTGTGTCACGTCATTTGGTACACGAATTCAGTACGCATCCTTCAATAACTGTAGCATTATTCGAGATGTCTTTGGTCTTTGTTTCCAGCAAGATAAATTGTAGTGGTCATTTCTCCTCTGGTCTTTGTCGACTAACACAATGAAAAATTGGTTGCCATTTGTTTGTCCCCAACAATTGTTAAAATCAAGTCACGATGCTTTCTAACTGTCAACCGACAATCACTGCTAAATCAACCATTCAAATTTCAGAGTTTGCTGTGCCTAATTTGGATGTTGTGTTTCTATACTCATGGGTTAAGTCCTTTGCAATTAAGTAGAAAGTACACATCAAATCCTTAATAATAGACTTAAGCACTGGACATTTATAACAATAAGAGTATACAAGGGCTGAATAACAGTAACCAAATGGTCCAAATGATTACAATGATTCAATTAATATGCTTTCTTTCTTTCTTCTTATTGACTGATGATGCACCTTAAGCCCTATTTCTTTCACATTACAGGGCGTCAATGAGATGTCTTGAAAAGCTAGAACGTCTCGCGCTTTGGGCGTTTAAGTTGAAATGCAACCCTTTGAGCTTGAGGCGTTTGTTGTGGCAAATCTATTCTTTGTTGAGGCAAATCTGTTTTCTGTTGCTGGGATGTGCTGGGTTCAGCAGTTTCTTCATCCTCCTCAGTTTCTTCCATTGGCTGAGCAGAATTCTTTGGGATGAACAGTTGGTAGTTAGGACCGATTAATGTGTCCTGCTCAGGTGGAAGTGCAATACCAGGTGATGCTATTACCTTTGGCAATGGGATTCTGTTCCTGGTTCTAGACAACTCTAGTAGGACCTGATAGACGGTGAGATTAAAAAAGTTACTCAATAAACTAGAATCTCTGTATGCTTGTATCAGCGACAGAAAACAGAAATATATTGTCACGAGAAACTAACAAATGAACAAAAGGAAAATTGTGCATCTGAACTCGTAGTTTGCTAGAGCAATCAAATGAAATCCTACAGCAGGGAAGCTACTTTAATAATGGGTTGCCAAAAGCGAATAAGAGCCAACAATCCAATCAATTCAATCTCAGTCAAAATAGCACTGTGAGTGAGTAAACCAGGACAAACACAATAGAAAAGAAACAGAAATTTGATCTTAAAACCAAACCACAAATCCCATTGCATTTATATTTGGGACTCTTAGCACGTGGAACATCAAGTAGAATAAGCTTCAGCATATCAAGGAAAAGTAAGCGACTAACTTACCTCTCTTGGTGGGGGTTGCGAGAAGCTAAAATTGACTTTCGACTGAATAGCAAGCTTGATATCCTCACAATCAATTGTAGACTTGCCAGCGTGCTCTGAGTAAACCTGTGCATCTGTTAATACTTCAACAACATACCGGTACCAGAACTCCAGGAACTGATGTATGACTCGAGGTTCATAGTCTTCCACACCCATCGATTTCAGCAGTGATTTAACAATCTTTGCATCCCTAGGCATGTTCTCATCTCCCTCTGCCATTTCCTTGACCGAATACTATCACCCACAAAGTAAACCAACATTAGACATCTTTGCAAATGCTACCCACACAACAAAATATTCTCACCCTTATCTCAACATAACATCACTTTCTACAACATAAAAACTAACATAGCAACGGATTTAATACTTCCTACGAAGCCGAACACAAAAGCTCAGATGAATGCCATTAGTTTCAACCGGGTATGAAAACTCGAATGTACAGTTATAAAAATGAAAAACGCTCGCTTCCATGTGCCAAGTAAAACTCAAATTTATTTATAATTTCATGGAAACTAAGTAAACTGTTACAATTTATTCAAATAGAGCAAATCTCAAACAAAGATAAACATGCTGAAACCATGAACAAATTTTTCTACTTTTAATTCAGCAAAAGTTTTATTTTTTCAATAAATTATCTTATATAACTTCCACAGACGCCAATAAACAGAAGCTGCAACTTAAAAAATGGAAAAAAAGAAAAAAAAAAAAGGTTTTTTTCAGCTCACGTTGAACCTGCGAGCTCTCGATTGCACCAAAAGCTAACTAAAATCGAGTACAGAAGATGAATCCGTTCATCCCTCTGTTCAAAACCCTAGTAACAAAAACCATTGAAGTCGCAAAACTTCAGGCTCAGCCCAACCTCTATTGACTCAATGACACCGTTCAGAATAAAAAGATTAAAAATTTAGTCTCCGCTCGACTAACCTCGGCTCGTCGACGAACAGTGGAACGCGCAGCAGTGAGTTCTGTTGAAAGCAAGTGAATTTCAGTTGGTAAGTGTATTTCTGTCTTGTTTCCTCTTTCCTGCTTTATGTGTTTCTTTTTATGAAGAATGAAGGTGATTGACTTCATGGGCTTGTTCAAAAGCCCAATGGGCCTGAGCCCAAATTAAACTAATGATGTCAACAAACCCAATATGAGATGAAAGTAGTACGAGAAAATCTTGAACAAGATGAGTAATCAGACACACCCAGACGTACATATGCTTATTTAAGATAGGTCACATATACATACTGTTGATATAAAATATTATTTATAAACTGATGTATCAATCCTGTCTGTCGGCATGTCGTCTAATTTATTTAATTTATCATTAAATTAAAGTAATATGATTAGCTTAAAACACGTTTGTTTATTTGTATGACATAATTTGTTGATGCGTCATTTCGACACCAATCAAATGCATGTGTGAAATACTGAGTTGGCTTAAAAGACACATATAGATGAAAGAGTGAGAGTAAAAACAATGGAGAATATCATTTAAAGTGGTTCGGATGCTAATGAAGCAAATCCTACATCCATTGATTTTGTATTAATGATAGAAAGCGAACTGACTTACAAATGATTATACGAGAGAGAATGCTATTTTTCCTTTGGAGAGATTAGCTAATCCCCAAAATGAGAGAGGAGCTCTCAATTTATAATGGGATGGAATAAGGTTATGATTACTAATTCTGTGAGTTGGTGGGATTATCCGTGTAAATCCTTCTTTATGTCCCATTGCCCACCTTCTAGAGTGATTTATGCGATTTGGTGCAGGGATTAGACATGTGGAATCGCTACAGATCTTGGCTGGTTTGACGCACACCCACTGCCCTGGCAGGAGCATGTCGTCCCTGTCATTGTATGACGTGGCTGCCTTTGACTGGATGCGGGCCTACCTAAGCTCTGACTTTTTACACTGACTAAGTCTTGTGTCAGTCCTACCATTTTCAGGCATAACATAGTTAGTATAAGAAGTTTGTATATGAAATATGATCGATACTTATATAAGACGATACCATTGTCTTAATTTGTTGACGAATGGTGAATCATGACATATGCTAAATATTCTTGAAGCTCTTTTTCGATGGTATTTTAATATTCATTATAATGGGTGATTTTAAAAAGTTATATAAGACATTGTTTTATTAAACGTCTCCTCTTGTGACTGAATGGGAAGCCTTTTAGCTATTGGGGTTAATTATATCCAGAGGTCTTGTGTTTGAGTCACAGAAGAGATAATTACTGAGTTTACCGAAAAAATAAATTAAGAGGTTAAGTTATTGAAATGAATTGGAAATTTGGACTAATATGAACAACAAAAAAGTGGAGCTTGAGCATCACTGAATTTTATCAAGCATAAGTATTATTTGATATTCAACTTGTACAATCAAAATGACAAATATAATGAACTATATATGATAACTAATTATAACTAAAGTTGTTTAATTGACCCTTTGAATCTCTCTCATCTCCAGAAGAAATCTTGGACAGAATCCTGCCATGAAAGCACAAGCATGAGCAAGATCAAGACGCCAGCAAGCCCCCATGATGAGCTCCCAATTCTAAGCACCCAAGAAGGGTCAGGAGATGGAATAAATGAAGAAGAAGGTGAAGAAGAAGAAGAAGTTGTTCTAATGGCAATTATAAGCCCACCAAGAACCACAGGAAGAAGAAAGCCAGAGTTCCATTTTGTAGTCTCATAAAATCTTGAGTTCTCCTCATGGTTTTTTCTTGTCACATATAATGGTGACAATACTACTGCTGATATTAAAGCCAACACCATGGCTACTCCTCTTGAGTTTTGGCCATTTGAGTTACAATAAGCATAGGTAGAAGCCATGGGATTGGGAGGAGGACTCAAAATGTGTCAAACAAAATACCCTTTTGATCTTATGGAAGAAACTTAACCAGATTGATTGAATTTATAGGAGGAAGAAGAGGGAGAGAGTAAAGGAATCTAGTTGGAAAGGTTGTGATTTGATGAAGGAAGAGATAGACAGCCGGCCAAAAAGTTGTATTATAATAATTAAAGTTAAGAGAAAGGTAAAAAGAAAGAGATGGAAGATTTCAAAAAGATTGTAAAGCTTTGGAAGTAAGGCATCTTATTTTGCTGTGTTCATACATGACTACAAGCATTTGCTAGCTAGCTGGACTCACTTTTCTGGGAATTCTTTCTACTTTATTGTTTACATTTGTCTCCGAGAATTCAGAGAGTAGTATAAAAGATATATCATCCCCATCATGTAATATTCTTTCAATGTCTATTTGGATCCAATTATTTGTATCTTTTATGTTAAAAGAATTAGAAAAATGATTTAGTATAAGTTCTGTGATTGGTTATGACATTCGTATAGGGCTAGTAACGGGTAAGCTGTGATGTAATTGGTCCGACTGGGAATCGGTCCCTAATCTAGTCTACTGAAGTTTTAGCCATTAGACTGAATTGACTTGGGGTTGAACCGACGAAACAATGTCAAACTGCGGTTCAACCGTCAGGTCAAATAAGGAATGCCCTTACCCCATTAAGAAACACCTGTTTTCCATTAAGGAACGCTTGTTCCCCATTAAGGAATGCTCGTTCTTATTAATTATTAGAGTTTTAAAATTTTATTACATCATGTTGACATCAGCATGATATCACTAGTCTGACCCATTGGTTGGACCAGTCGAACCGATTGGACCGCCTAACCTTGGGACCGACCCCTTGACTGCGTCAAGGTCCAGTCTAGGTATAAAAACATTGGTCTTAAGACGTTGTCTTGTAGATATAGATTCCTATTACCGTCCATGACATTATTGTGCATCAGTAGAATAAGCGTCAATACATGATAGAATTCCTGTGGTGTACTACTGGTATATCATTCATTTTCATCTATATTTCCACATATTTTAAGATTCGTTCTGGGTTAATAGATTGATCAGCTTAATTACTTAGATTGATAGACAAATATTCATGAATATAATGTGGAAGAAGCATGTGATTTGGAGGGCCACAAAGCCTGACATGTACCGATTTATATTATATTGTTTATGTATGAGAATTAGTGATCACTTGAATAAAGTAAATAATTAATAGCTTGAAATTCAACACTATGACATTACTTTTTATATGAATCTATAAATAAAATATTTTGAGACCTGGGTTTTTCCCATTTTTGTGTGTCTCTCTCATGTACTTCTGTAGTCACTCACTATAACCATGAAAGCTCAGTCTAATCACATCACCAAAATCCTCTCATTCTGCCATCTCTAAACACTTCTCATTTATTGTGGCAATTTTGATTTTTGATAGCTGATATTGATTACTGATGATCATTTTTTAGAGAAAAAATTAGACACGGTGTCCAGATCAGTTTATACGTACTTCAATTAATCTACAGGGTTCATTGAACACCTCACATGATCCATTACACACTCGAACATAAGACCTCTGAGAAACCTATCTAGATAACTAAAGTTTTGTTATCCGGCTATAAACCAAATGGTTAACAACGAATATACTTATATACATACATTGATCGATTATGAAGTGTAAATACAAGTCATCCACGCACGTTTCAGTGATTGGATTTATATATCACAGAACAACTGATCTTAAAGGTATAATAGGAATGTATTTGCTGTTTTTCTGTTAAACATGCACTCAAAATCTTTATGATAGAAAGTGTCTACTTTAGTCACTTAAATACTACATTAATTAGAGTTAGCTTTACTCACCCGCATCAGGTATTTGTAACTTCAAGTATTGATTTAAAAAAAGATATAAAAATCCTTAGAAGGGTCAGATCCAGGACAAAAATCTTGGGGACCCTTGTCTCAATCTGCAAGCCAAAATATCGCAAATGGATTCCCATTTGCCGGCCACCAACATGGTTTGCCTTCTCGATATATAAAAGTCATTCTCTAGACTATATAAATGTTCTAACTATGATTGAACGAATACTCGTATATACATTTATAGATTCATATAAAAGTAATGTCACCTAAACAACGTGAGATTGTTACGTTGATGTATGTTGGATCCAGATATATGATAGGTGTATGCCGAATCCAGATACAACATGATAGGTCGATTCCCAGAGGTTAGGTGGTGAGGGTGTCCCCATGGGGCAAAGGGACTAGGAGTAACCTAGGCCCTCAGACACGTGGTAGGTGAGTTTTAAAGGTATTGTCCCACTTTGAGCCTTGAAAGTGGCATAATTTTGTTTTGGAAAAATGCCTTTAGAAGATGAAGGTGTTTTTGTGCTATATAAAAGAACAAAACCATAGTTATCTAACAGATGTGGGAATTGGGCACCAACATACATACTGTATATACTCGTTTTTTCTGTAACAACCTCGACTTTACTTGCAATAGAATCGGGAGAAAGTCCGAACGTATGCAGTTTCAGTTTTCTTTTATTTACAACAATATAAAATTTGATTTAACTTTGGTGACCGTCGTGACCTTCTGAATTATTATTAATTTGATTTTCGATTCGTGAAACGTACACGATGTGAATTGCTTTTAGTGTTTTACAATGGCAGCTTTTGCTTCAAGTCATGGTATTTAAGTAATCATATAACTATTTAACTTACTTTTGATCTTATTTTATATTAACATAATATTCAGGTAAAAAACAAACACAAAAAGCTCAATTTCTGCCATAGAAGTCTACCCACAAAAGCTTGAGAAGACGAAGAAAGAAGAAGATTGATCCAGAAATGGATTTACCAAAATCTATTCTACTACTCATTTTCAGATACTTTCTTTTCATCTTCCAGAATTTACACCGGTTTTCAATCTCAATTACATTCGATTCCTTTCAAGAAACCATTTCCAGGGTTTTCCAGGCTCCGATCGTCGTTGCATCCATCGATACAATGCTGTCCCTCTATTTTCATATGTGCAATCTTTCGCCATGCACCATAGATTTAGATGACAAAACCACCATGCATTTCTGGACCCCGAAACACAGGAGATTAAACAAGCCTGATCTGGTGATTCTCCATGGCTATGGAGGCAATTCCAGGTGGCAATTTGTGTACCAGGTTGGTTCATTATCTAATAGGTTTAATCTTTACGTGCCGGATTTGTTATTCTTCGGCAAATCCTACACTACCAGGCTGGAGAGAAGTGATTATTTCCAGGCTGAGTGTGCGGTAGAAGGGCTGAAAAAATTGGGCGTGGAGAGGTTCTCGGTTTATGGAATCAGTTACGGCGGTTACGTGGCGTACCGTATGGCTGAGATTTATCCTCAGGTGGTTGAGAAGGTTGTGATTGTGAGCAGTGGAATAAGCTGCACGGAGAATCAGAAAGATGGGCATCTGAAAAGAATTGGGAGATCTCTTTTGGGAATTCTGGTTCCTCAAAGTCCTCAAGATCTACGGTTGCTAGTTAATTTATCTGTTTACAATCAATATTTGATCAATTGGGCCCCTGATTTCGTGCTTCGACAGTTCATCAAGGTGATTAGTTTAACTTAATTTCTGGATTACAGTTTAGAGTTAAGAGTGTGTTCTTGACAACAAAGAAAACACTTCCAAGTTCCAAGCTCCAACACCTCCATGTACAGATAAAAAATGCTTTATGAAAACACTTTCAAGTTCCAACACATTCATATGCATAAAGGATTGCACTAACTTTTAGAAATGTCTTTCAGATTATGTATGACAGTCACAGGAAGCAGAAGCAGGAGCTGGCAGAGTACTTACTGTATAAAGGTGCCAATCCAAACATACCCATTTTATCTCAGGTAATTTTGATTCAACGTTTACAGAGAGAATGACCATTCGAACGTTTTCAACCTCACACTGACAAGATCTCTGATCTGATTTTGGGGTGAAGGAAACACTGATAATTTGGGGTGATCAAGACAATTTCTTTCCACTGGACTTTGGCTATCAGTTACACAGGTGCAGAACTGCTACTTAATGTCCTTTCAGTTTTGACCTTAAAACTGCTTGATCCTAAAGTGATTTGTGACGAATATATGTTGATGAAATGCAGCCACTTGGGACCCAAATCAAGGCTGGAGATCATCAAGAACACAGGCCATGCTGCAAATGTTCAATCACCTTCACAACTCAACAGCCTAATTACATCTTTTGTTTTGGCTCAGTCCTAGCTTCCTTGCTACGTTTAATTTTGGACATTTCTCATTCAGGCATGTAGAGGGGCTAAATTAATGTTAATTAGTCTTTGTTTTTGTGAGATCAAGTTCTGAATTTTCTCTTCTTTAATCTTTGTATATGGGATTTAATTGAAGAAAAATGCTAAATTTACCCACCCATGGGTAGCCCAACGGTAACGGCGAATCAAGGAGGTTGTAAATGGTTTCAACCCATAGTCAAAGTTTGATTTTTTACTGCACGCAAAGGTACCTCGTGGTGTTGGGTTGTTATGGGATAGTTTCTCTGAGGAATATTTAAGATGCACGTAAGTTGGTTTGGATGCCTTAACCAAAAAGAAAAAAAAAAAAAAAAATCCTTAATTTATTTAAAAGCTTACTATCAAATGGCAATGCCCAAATCCAAGATAGGAGCACGCCCGACAAGTCGTATTAACCAAGGCGACATACACGACTAATAGTTTAAATTGAATTAAAAACTCAAGAATAGAATGTCATCCGCTGAAATGGCATGAGCAAGAACAAACATAATAAACACGACATGTCGGTCCAATAAGAAATAAAAACGAGCCGCGTCGGTCGTTAAAAAACGAAAGAAGTAATACGGCTGGTAGTTTGATTCAATACCATGAAAACGACAAATCGGTCAAACAAAACAATTAAAATTTTACAAAATACCCCTTCTTGTTATATATTTTTATCCAAATACTCCCTGTCTTCTTGTTTTCTACAATAAATCTCACTCGACCACCGCCACTCGCTCGATTCTCTCCTCGACCACCACCACTCGCTGGATTCTCTCCTCAGGTGCAGCTCACGTGACTCCAACACAGCCCAGCGACATCGCTCCGTCGCACCACGTGCCGCTGACGCGGCAAAGGACCGGATGTGAGCAAGAAGAACAAACAAACAAAACATTATTAAAAATGTCATCGCACGGGAATGACTTCGCTGCCATCCTCTGCCACGTCTTCCTCTCCTATGACGGCGCCGTTTTAGGTGTAACCCTAGCGTACTCCGCTGTCCGTACGCTCTTAAAATTCCGCAGTACTTCCCACGCCCTAGGCAAAGTCGAGAACGCTCCGCAGTTTAGAGTCTCCGATCTTCGCTCGCTTTTGGAAGACGATGACAAGAAATCGAAGCAGTCAGATCACCAGCAGAATAATAGTCGCCTTGTGGTCGTGCGTGGCCACGTGGAAGCAAAATCGGCGGTTGAGGGAAAGAATTGGAAGAACTGGACGAATGGTACTGGCGTTTTGGTCTCTCATTACAGTGGAGACAAAGCTGTTATTATTCAACGAACACAAACTGTATGCATTCTTGAAAATCTTAAATTTACGTTTTCTTTTTTTAATTTTTTTAGTTATTTATTTGTTTTTAATATAGGGTTCTTTAGTTCACAATTTTAGAACAAAAATTTTGAACAAGCTCGAAATTGTATGAGTTTCTGGGTGTCTGTATGTGTATGTGCATGTGTTTATCTGAATTTATGTGTGCTGTTATATCTCATGAATTTTCTAACTATGACAGATTGTGTTCTAAAACGTAAGAAAAGTTTTGTGAATTAGCTATAATTTGTGGATGAGCTATCTATATTGAATTTTTGTATGAGTGATATTTTTGCATTTTTATTTATGCTTAACTAAGTTGATGTAGTTGGTGTTTTGCTTATTGTAGTATGAGTCAGCTTTCTTGTGTAGGAATAATATGAATGTCTTGTTGGGGATGATTTTAGTTTTGGCACACATTTGTATGAAAAATATTGTTTAGTAAACAGAGAACACACCATTTTACTTGTAATTTGTATAGACAGATACAGATTATTGATATGCCCTAATGAAGAAACTATTTCTTTTCTAACTGATTTTCTGGTTTGTGTTGCAAAGTGGCTGTACAATGAATGGAGGGGCTTTTTGGGATGGACTCCTGATATACACGCCATTTTTGGGAGATCTTGGAGAAAAAAGGAATCGTCTTTGAGGACGGTAAAATAATTATTTGCAAATTCAAATTGATATGTTTGCTGATTAGTTACTTTTAGTAAGAATGTCGTTGAAGCAACTAATGCTTTTCTGTCAGTATTGACATACAGAGAGCATTTTTCTGTGGTTTGAACAGATAACCATTACAGTTCCGTGTTGTGTTGCATATTCATTCAATAGCCTTTAGTCTTCCATATATGTGTTGTTTTTTCGCTGACACTGCCACTTCACACGTATTTGAGCATTGACTTAACATAAAGTAGTGATTCTTTAGCCTCAAGTTGGGAGCATGTTATTTTGATTTTGGAATATGTTATAAGATTTTTGTTGCTTCATTTTTTATGTATAAATGTCTCTGTTGGCCTGGTTGGTGTAATTAAGATTTTGTTGAAATTTAGTTGAGTTGCAAATGTGATTGAGCAGCTTTTGTTAGATTTTACCTTTATAACTTTGCCTTCTTAACCATTTGAATCCTTAAAACCATTTTGGCTGGTTGTTGGTATTTTAAAACTATTCATGTTGAGTTTAATTGTGGTTGTTATAGCTATGATTAATCTAATATATTTGTATTATTCAGGTTCCTTTTATTCTCGTTGAAGGGGGTTGGTGGCCACAATCTGATTATGTTGTTGTGAACATGGATGGCTCCAAGCATCGCTTACCTCTTGTTAGAGTCTATCATGATTTGCAACCGTTTAATGTTTCTCCTTATGCACTTCTTCAGACAATTTTTGGTCATGAGTGCCCTGTAAGTTCAAATTTTGTGAAGTCGAAATGTGACTAATGCATTATAGAGAATCTGACAATACCCAAAATCTGAAAGATCTGGTTCTGGTGTAGCATTTTGTTTGTCTTAATGATCAGCTCATTCTTGTTACAAAAGTATGATGTTATTCTTGTTACAAAAGTATGATGTTCTACTTTGTTTGCTTGTTGAAGGTTGGTGTGCTTGACGAAGAGAAGATTCTTCCACTGGGAGAGAATATCAGTGCTGTTGGCATCTGCAGTTTAAAAAATGGAGTCCCTGAGATCCAGTCATGCAAAGATCTTCCCTATTTTCTGTAAGTGTTTTATTAAAGAACAATTTCTGTTAGGTCTTTTTGTTGTAAATGCAAAAAAATCCATGCATGTGTACGATGTAGTCTCTCTCTTCCTTGATTGTGTTGCTATCATTCATCTTAAAGATATTTGAAGTGTTTAATGAGTTTCCAGAAAGTCATTGGCCAGTTCCCTCATTCTATGCATTGTTTTCATCTGGTATAGTATTAGGGAATAGATTTGAGAACGAGTTTGCCCTGTTTTAGCAAATTAAAACATATAGTGCTCTATATGCTAACCTATTGATCTGCTAAGTCTAATGTTAACATGCAAATCCAGCAATTGGGCTATAAACCTTCTTTTATGCTGGCATTTTCTTAACAAATTTGGCAATGGTGTCTATTAGGAGGTTCTGGTTTTAGGAGGTTTCCATCTTTAGTTGAAACTAGTAATTTGCTTTTCTGCAGGACTGAGATGACAAAGTATCAAATGGTAGCCGATCTTGCTTTCAAGTCACAAGTACTCTTCTGGAGTAGTATTGTTCTTGGTTCGCTGTCTGTTGGTATCCTTGGGTATGCTATTTTCAGGTACATTAGTTTTAAAGGACAATATCTTTCATCTCTCATCATTAAATTTCAATGAGTTCAAATCTAGTGTAAAGGGGTTATATTAGTAATTGGTAATTTAGTTTTGAACCTATTAATCAACATTTGTCTCCAGGAGCTGGAATAGATGGAAAGAATGTAGGGAACTGAGACGGTTGCAGCAGTCAACCCAAGCTACTGGAGACAATGCCAATTCTCAGGTTGGTGGAGACGATGAAGCAGCTGGAGATATTCCAGATGGGCAGCTCTGTGTGATCTGCCTGATGAGGAGGAGGACGTCTGTATTTGGTCCATGTGGGCATGTTGTTTGTTGTCATCGATGTGCCACATCAATCGAACGTGAAATATCACCCAAGTGTCCCATTTGTCGCATGCCAATCCGTAATTCAATGCGGATATTTTTCTCTTGAGCGAAAGCGTTTGGTAATTCGATGTCGTCTTCTTTTTCACTAGTCCATCCGAAACTTTCCAAGTCAAAATACATAGGCGAATTAGAGTTGTAGAGTTAAATTTTGTGAATATTTTTTAGTACATATTCTTGTAAATGCTTCTCATATTCTTGGAAATGCTTCTTTGACAGCTAGAAAGTGATACCACCTAACAAGTTACTGTTATCTACTCCCTAGCACATCATCTTTTTACTCTCACCAAACTACTAATGATAGCACAATTGACAGCAAATGAGTACAACAGAAACATTCACTGATAAACTAAAAGAGCTGCCAAACAAGAACAAGGATTACAAAATCAGCATTCTAATGCATGGCTGAATCTTGTTCAAAAGTTACACAGAAATTCTTGTAGATAAAATAAAAAGTAAGAACGGATAGTTATGTATTTGATCTAATCTCATTTACTTTCATCTCCAGCTTCCACAGTGAGCAGAAAGAAACAGGCTGAGCTTTCCACCACAACCCAACACACCCATCTTTCTCATCAACTCTCATTTCCCAGTTACTATCATACTTCCTCAACAAAGCCTTCCCTCCATCAATCACATCTTCTCCAAACACTTCTCCAACAAACCCCACTTCTTTCATTCTCTCACACCATTTCTCCTTCCCTTCATTCATCTCTCCCCTGTTTGTCAACGCCTTCGCCGCCTCCCCTTCCATTACTCTCCTTTCTTCGCTCTCTCGCCCTTTGAATGCAGCACTTGTTGAGTCCAAAAACCTCCATAAGTACTCCACTCGCCGCGCAAAACCTGTTGCAAAGTCCGCACAATTGCTGCAGCTGCAATCCATGTTGTTTTCGCTAAGAATTACTCCTTTTGGCTCCAAGCTTTTTATCATTCTCAAGAATTCAGTTCTTTCATCTGGGGTGTTGTGATTCAAATGATGCAGTCTAAATTGCGCGCAAACGATTAATGTTTCTTCAGGGGAGAGGTCGATGACTTGTGCATTAAGATTCTGTAAAGGGTGGTTATCTAGTCTGTTGATTTGTAAGTTTATGTTCATAGACTTGGCAAAAGTGAGAAGTTGTAAAGTATAATTGTCACCTTGCGGACCAACTGAAAATGGGATTTCAGTGTTTTGGTCATTTTCAACACTTGGAGCGACAATTGTTAGGCGAACTAGAGGAGGAGGACCTCCTGGTCTTCTGGTCAGGGGCTCAAGAAGTGTAGGCCATTGCACACCATGAGAGACTCCAATATCAAGAATGTGAAGATTCTGCGAATTGTCGTGTTCTTGAGCAAGAATTTGAAGGATGGAAGAGTTTGCAATGTTGTTAGGAAAGGCAAACCATGGACTCTTATCATAGAAATTGAGTAAAGATTTTTGGAAGAATTTTGGTTCTGTAGAAGCAAAAGTAACAGCTCCTATTGAGGTAGATGTTGAAGAGGAAGATGATAACGAAGACAAATGATAAGTCATGGCTTTGAGTCCGTGAGCCGCCAGCCGGTGATTGGCGTCACCGGTAGGTGAGGCAAGCTCGTGGAGGACGTACAATAGGTGCTGGACACGTGTCAGGTTGCCTGCTGTGACCGCCATGGCACAAGGGTTAAGCAACTGCTCTGCCCATCTACCATCCTTGTTATTACCGTTAGTATTGTTGTTTCCTGAAGACTTGTTTGAGGTTTTCTTGTTACCAACTGACCTCTTAACTGTCACAATTTCTTCATCCCCTTCTTAACTTTCATTGATCCGACGGCCATGATTCTTCCTCTGCTGCTGACTTTGTGATGATCTTGGAAGAGGGTCATCGGCATTCCTCCTTTTCCTGGAAGGATCCGACGGCCGTGGAGGGCTTGGAATGGTAGAAAGATCACTAGGCGTTATGCCAGTAGCATTAGTGCTAGTTGTAACATTTATGTTCTCCACAGGACTAACACTAGCACTAATCAGCTGTTCTTGGACTAAATTCTCTCCTTGTGTCCACCACTGATAAGTATCGATACCGCCAGCGTGGTAGGGATCATCAAGGAACGAAGGGAGGAACGTTAACGAGTCCTCAAGCCAGTCCAGAATATGATCTGAGGTGGGGTTTGGTTCAGGTTCTTCAATGGTCATTGTTCCTGAGAAGAAAGAAACTTTGAGTCTTTCAAATGCCAAAGAAGGGAAAGCTGTACTGTTTTGGTAGGTTTTGGTCATTGACCAAAAAAGGGCTCAAATAAGTTAATCTTTGGTTGAGAGTTGCGCGTTAAAATAATGAAATGGGCAGTGATGTTTTGCGGAATGAGGTCAGTAAAGAGAATATTGTAAGCGTTGGCGTGGTGATTTATTTGGAAGATGTGATGTTTTTATTGGAGATTTAATAAGCCGATTAGAAAGCAGAGACTTTGTCTTTTGTTAAGTTATTGGTTTCTATGCCAATGGTGGTTGAGATCTACAAGTTGAGGATTGTGATGTGTTGAATATCACTTTTCAAGAGACGGCAAACTCTCTTTCTGCTAATTAAAAACTATTCAGTCTTTGTTTGTTTTTGGTTTCTGCCATTTGGGACCAAATGGATTTCTGATAAAATTTTAATGGAGACTGTTGTTTATTATTTCCCATGTGAACAAGTATTCTAGCCTCATGTCACATGAACACTTCGTTTATGTAAATTGTCAGTCAAGCTTAGCTTGGAGGCTGATTTCTGAGTCAAAAGTTTGGTTCTGTATTTTCCAATTTTTTCAGGTTCCTGAAATTGACCCAGTTCAGACTCATCTGTTAAGCCCTTTATTATAGGTAATCTAATCAAGATGGGCCTTTATCCACTTTGTGCCAATTAGGCTGGTCAAATTAAGAAAGAGGCATTAGCTACCCCATGAAGATTGAGTCATTTGGTGCATAAATGTGATCACCATACGCTGTTTGATAAATCTTGTAATTTGATGGATCTTTTGCGGAGGATGAAGAGGACTACTTATTGGACTTACCTTAGCTTGGATGAATATTGAACTTGATCAGACTTAGACCTTTGATTAAGAATATGAACTTGGACATAGATCAGATCAAGGATACCTCATTACTGATCAATTGACCGAACACTTGCAGCCATCACCCAAGTATGATCTATCCCTTGAACTCGGATTCGGATGCCGCGACGCCTAAGTTCACATTACTAGTTGATGTTTGATAAAAAAACGACCGTCAACAGTTGACACATCAGGTTGCAACAAAATTATTTGATTACTTTATAAGTTAAAACTCTTAACCACTTCCCTTGTGACCGGATTGAAAAAAGGGGCTTGGCTGCATAGGGTCTCCCCGACCTCGTGTTTGAATCTCATAGGGAGTGATACTCACCACATTTATGACTTACTTAGTTCATTAGTTTTTTAGAGTATTCAATGAACCCTAAGGATTAGATAGACTAATTTCAATAAAATCTCACTCTGTTCTTTATCCCCTGTAGAATACTTTCGAATATCTAACCCCTTTATTAACAATAATGTTAAGGTGTAGAAAATCAAGAAAGAGAGGATGAGAATGAGAAATCCAGGGGGAAATTCATGGACAAACCAGAGTTGGGTAAAATTCCTTAGCACCCATAGGTTTTGGAAACTAACAATAGACCCCAACCGTTTGGTAAAACTGTCAACTTTTATAGTAACGTTGAATGTACCCTTACCCTTATAAAGAAAAATGAAACATATAGATAGTATATCATTATGAAACCATTTGTTATAAAGAAATGTGGATTTTGGTAATTCCTGGATTACGTAAGAAGAAAATTACTATGTGTAAACAAATTTTCATAGATGAAGTTTCTTGTCAGATTGAAGGTTGTGGAAAAAATGTTTGATATGAAATTTAAATACAAATGGTAAAGTCACTTATTAGATAAGTTTATACCTGTTTGTCTCAATATCTCCATAACTTCAGGTTGAGTATAAGAAAAAACAAAAGCATATTGAACACAAACAGATAAGGATAATCCTGCACCACTTTCTTTTAACTCATCCGGGTTTAAATTCTTCCTCATTTGTGATTCAGCAGTACTATTCTGAAATTTCATTGCTTTTAATCTCAATGACCTTTCTCATCCCAATAATTTATTGAAACAGTTGAAGTTAATGTAAGATTTGCAACTTTGACTGTCATGGAAAAGATTAGCCAAAGCAAAATACACAATATCTTAACCTTTACTAATTTTTTTTTTCCATTTATTCTGTTTACGCATGATTCGTTTCCAAGGATGAAGTCTTAGGTTCGAAGGACATGCNTCAAGCTTAGCTTGGAGGCTGATTTCTGAGTCAAAAGTTTGGTTCTGTATTTTCCAATTTTTTCAGGTTCCTGAAATTGACCCAATTCAGACTCATCTGTTAAGCCCTTTATTATAGGTAATCTAATCAAGATGGGCCTTTATCCACTTTGTGCCAATTGGGCTGGTCAAGTTAAGAAAGAGGCATTAGCTACCCCATGATGATCGAGTCATTTGGTGCATAAATGTGATCACTATAGTCTGTTTGATAAATCTTGTAATTTGATGGATCTTTTGCGGAGGATGAAGAGGACTACTTATTGGACTTACCTTAGCTTGGATGAATATTGAACTTGATCAGACTTAGACCTTTGATTAAGAACATGAACTTGGACATAGATCAGATCAAGGATACCTCATTACTGATCAATTGACCGAACACTTGCAGCCATCACCCAAGTATGATCTATCCCTTGAACTCGGATTCGGATGCCGCGACACCTAAGTTCACATTACTAGTTGATGTTTGATAAAAAAACGACCGTCAACAGTTGACACATCAGGTTGCAACAAAATTATTTGATTACTTTATAAGTTAAAACTCTTAACCACTTCCCTTGTGATCGGATTGAAAAAAGGGGCTTGGCTTCATAGGGTCTCCCCGACCTCGTGTTTGAATCTCATAGGGAGTGATACTCACCACATTTATGACTTACTTAGTTCATTAGTTTTTTAGAGTATTCAATGAACCTTAAGGATTAGATAGACTAATTTCAATAAAATCTCACTCTGTTCTTTATCCCCTGTAGAATACTTTCGAATATCTAACCCCTTTATTAACAATAATGTTAAGGTGTAGAAAATCAAGAAAGAGAGGATGAGAATGAGAAATCCAGGGGGAAATTCATGGACAACCCAGAGTTGGGTAAAATTCCTTAGCACCCATAGGTTTTGGAAACTAACAATAAGACCCCAACCATTTAGTAAAACTGTTAACTTTTATAGTAACGTTGAATGTACCCTTACCCTTATAAAGAAAAATGAAACATATAGATATTATATCATTATGAAACCATTTGTTATAAAGAAATGTGGATTTTGGTAATTCCTGGATTACGGAGGAAGAAAATTACTATGTGTAAACAAATTTTCATAGATGAAGTTTCTTGTCAGATTGAAGGTTGTGGAAAAAATGTTTGATATGAAATTTAAATACAAATGGTAAAGTCACTTATTAGATAAGTTTATACCTGTTTGTCTCAATATCTCCATAACTTCAGGTTGAGTATAAGAAAAAACAAAAGCATATTGAACACAAACAGATAAGGATAATCCTGCACCACTTTCTTTTAACTCATCCGGGTTTAAATTCTTCCTCATTTGTGATTCAGCAGTACTATTCTGAAATTTCATTGCTTTTAATCTCAATGACCTTTCTCATCCCAATAATTTATTGAAACAGTTGAAGTTAATGTAAGATTTGCAACTTTGACTGTCATGGAAAAGATTAGCCAAAGCAAAATACACAATATCTTAACCTTTACTAATTTTTTTTTTCCATTTATTCTGTTTACGCATGATTCGTTTCCAAGGATGAAGTCTTAGGTTCGAAGGACATGCAGAAATACACAATATCTTGACAATGAGCCGTGTTGACAAGATATGAATTTTACATATTGGAATAAATGTAGTAGAAAGAAATGTAAATACATATTAGTTCACCATGAATACCATAAGTCTATGTTTTAATTTAGACCGTAACTTAACCAATGACATTAAAATAATGGTTAACCCGGTCCACTGTCAAGATATTGTGTATTTATGTGCATCTCTCTTGATTCAAACATGAGAAGTCATTCATTTCTTAGGTTCAAATCAAGAGAAATGAATATAAATACACAATATCTTGACAATGAGCCGTGTTGTTACATCTTTGGCTTTAAGAAATTTTATAAAAATCAATTTGATATAATTTAGTACAAAAAAACCGCTCTCCTTTTGAAAGTAACATTTAAGTAAGAATTGAGTTGGTAAATTTTTTAGTTAAGAAAGTCAATATTTATTGAACACTATCCGTTTTAATATTTTAATTGGTTAGGAGAAAATTAGAATTATTTTCATTCACTAAAATAAAATTAAAACAAAATCGACTTCAATATATTTGTAAGAGGTACTATAGTTCATGAGTAATCCTTAAGTTTTGGAAGTTAAAAAGATAAAAAATAATAATAATAATAAGTGATGTAATAAGCTATGAAGATTAGACAAAAGGACGATATCACTCACTAAATGAAAACTAATTAAAGAGTACCTATCAAAATTTATGCATCACCTTAGCCAAAACCTCAGCATTTATAAAGTCTTGTTGGAGTGGTATTGTTGGTTGGAGTTTAGAGGGCATGGCCTAATTAGTGTAATCTGTCAAGGGTCATTCATGGAAGATGGAGTTGTGTTACATTGCCTTTGTGAAATTAAATTACACTAATTAGGAATAAATAGTTCTTATTTTGATAATTAAGAATGTTTATAAGAAGATTACGGTATTCGACAATCATATCCAGGAAGTACTTCAAGGTATATTAATCTTCCAACTGAAAAAAGCTATACATAAGCATGGAACATGTTGATGATTTTAAAAATCTAGAATGAATGAAAACAGCTACTGAGGAAAGGAATAAATGGAAAAGAAGTAAAAAGAAGAAAGTATTCTTGTAAACTTTGATTATCATGGAAGAAATGAATTTCATGCGTGTTGGGATATTATGGCTCGATTTCCTATTTGTTACCATGTAAAATTGTATGTCTTTATAAATAGAATTATGAATGTCTTGTTAGGAATTGAAATATGGATTCTATTAGAAATAGAATATCTAATGAGAACCAATTTAAAGTTATAAGAGAATGTGAGAATACAAAGTATTTGGTATAAGAGTTATTAAGCACCATGATGCAAATCGAGCTTTAATGGGTTCTAATTTGCAACCCCAAGCAGATCCGCTCACTCTTGGTAAGGCGAGTAATTATTTTGAAGCTTGACTTGAAAATCTGAACTAAAACAGAACAAAAACAGAGCAGCAACCTTTCAGCACTTCCTTTCAAGCACTGGACTTCCTCTCTCAGCCCAATAAAATATTAAGAACGAGGGTTCATCAAGTTAGAAAAATCCTTGAAGTCAATATTTACCAGATCCCAAATCCAAACATCTTTTTCCAATCAATGATTGATTATATAATGAATAGTTGGAACCTGTTTGGCACTAAAAATAAAGGTCCAAATTACACTGGAAGATTGAACATAACACAGAGAATGAGGGTTCATCTATTTCTAGGCGCAATAATATTGTCTTAGCCAAATTAAAACAGTCTAATTAGGAATATCTAATAATTACTTTCGTAGTAATTGCTTATAAGCTGACTGTTTTTTGCTATAAGAAAGCAATTCTGAAAGAAATAGAGAAGCAACAGGAACAAAATAATAATAGTTAAACAAAACAAACAGTAAACAAAGAATGTAATACGCGCGATTTACCCTGGTTCACCCAATGTAGGCTACGTCCAGCTGAGTCAATATTATTGCAATATGACTCACATCTCTCGTTTACAATGAATGAATTGTTCTCACACCCATAACAAGAGAAAAGAATGTTTATATACTAGGTTTAAGAGATTAAACCTAGTTTTACAAGAATTCCTATTCCTAAGCCCAACCCAAAAAGGAATTAATAACTTAAAAGGAATCCTACAGCGGTTATACATGGAAAAGCCCAAAACCGCCTACGGGCTCGGGGGCGCTGCCCCCGCGACCCCCGCCCGCTCACCGGGGAGCGGGGCACCCGCCCGCTGACCGGTCAGCGGGACCCCCGAGTGCGTCTCCGTTACCCATTAATGCTGAAGTAGTCGACAACTCCAACAAATTCAAGGATCAAGACATTTTTTTGATGGGAACAAGAAAAAGATTTAAATTTGTGGAGGCCAAAGAGAGGATTTTAATTTTGAAAGTGTCAGGAAGTATTCCATGGAGCAATTTAAAGTAAATCAATCAAAAGCTGGAGACTTAATGATTTTTGGATGATAGAATATATATTAAAGGAAGACAGCTACCGAGATGAGAGGCATAAATGGAGAACAGTAAAAGTTGAAGTGGTTCTTTCTTGTTTTATTAATATTAACTTGTTTTCACTTTTTCTTTTTCTCCTTTTAGTGATAGTAATGTGCAATTCTTTCATAAATTGGAAGTGTTCCCCAGGCCCCAGCAATTTGTATCTTTAGGAGAGAATTGCAACTTTGCTTGTCATGGAAGAAATGAACTGATGCAAAAATGAGTTTCATGCAAAATATTCTAAGAACAAAGTATTCTCTTCTAGTAACACACAGAGTTAAAATGAAAATAATGAACTCTGCGAATTCATTTCAATAAAAAAAGTTATAAGAACTTTCTTCCGTTTTGACTCAAAGAATCTAACAGAAAAATTAATTCCCAGCAAAATTTTGTCCCGGGGAAGTTATTGCTTTTCCAAGAGAAGAAATGAATGATTACAGTTGTTTCTATGTATTGGCTTTAGGCTTTTGAGATCCTTATAAATAGTACTTGAAATTAACTGACAGAGCACTCTTTGTCCTAAACTGATATCGACAATGGATTCTGCTCAACCTTTCACTAATTTGGTTAAAAGAAAAGGAGAGGAAATTACAGAGGTAAATGAAGGTGCATCGGGTGAGCAACCAGCAAAGTCTCAAAGCCATAAGAATGATGAAGCTGTGAATGCCGAAGGTAAGTCAACGACACTGATATTAAGTGAACATTAATGCATTGCATAGTATTGATTATATCGTTTAAACTCTTTTATTTATTGACATGCTTTCTCATGTGTGCATGATTTGGAATATGACAGCGAACAGTAGGAGTATAAAAGGCAATTCTGTTCAACCTACGATTGATCAATTTTTTAGCAAAACAGGACAAGGAGTCACTGAGGTGAAGCAAGGTGATCCCAGGGAACAAACTGCAACAACACAAAGCTATAAGAATGATGAACGTGCTAATGCAGAAGGTTAGTTAGTTAAAGATACGTACTGATGTGGTGTGAAAGTTCTCATTATAAATAATTATCTTTTGAACTCTTTTTAGATTTATTCAGTAATATATGTTCATAATTTGGAATTTATAGTGAAGAAAAGCAGCGAGGGGAATGAGGATCATATTAAGTACCGGTCATTATACAAGGCTGTACAAGAGAATGATTGGAAGGGAGTTGACGATTTCATATCCAAAGATCCCGCGGTGTTAACTGCCAAGATTAAAGTATATACTGAGGAAACAGTTATTCACGTAATTACTCGAAACTTAGATACCCCCTTTTGGCTTCTGGAGAAGCTTGCATCGATGGCTGGCCCAGAATTACTAGAACGATCGAATAATGAACATGGCCTAACGCCTATATTCGAGGCTGCTAGATATGGCAATACGAAGGCGGCAAAAGCCTTTGTTCATAAAAACAAAGAATTGCCAAATATAAGGAACAGCAACGGTTTACTTCCAATTCACGAAGCTACAGTTCGTGGCCACAAGGAAACAATTCAATATTTACTCTCAGTGACAAGAGTGCCCTTAGATGACACGAACGGAGTGACTCTGCTTAAAAATCTGATCAATTCTAGTATCTATGGTCAGTATGTAAATTATATTAATTCTCTTTTATTATTTAACATTACAAAGGATATGGTATTTATATAATTGTCATGACTCATAGATTCATCTTTCAGATATAAGTCAATTTTGTTTTGCTTTCTCAGTTTTATTAGTTTAACATATTTTCTTCGGACCCTGGTCTTGCACAAAAATCCTTTGCTCTAATTTTTGATTGATTTCTACTGCATTTACAGGTATAGCTTTAGACTTATTGAAAAGATATCCAAACTTAGCATGTCTCCAGAGCCAAGACAGACGAAGTATTTTATTAATACTGGCGAATAAGCCTCTGGCGTTTGAAAGTGGGATCAGACTTGGATTTTGGAAACGCTTAATCTATGAATGTTGGTGTCAACAATCTTCTAATTTTTTACTTTCTCTGCCAAGTCGCAACATACGCAGAACTCTGTGGTTAAAATAATACTACATATACAAATTCCTTATAGAATTTTTCTCTCAAATGTACGTCTCATAACTAATATAATTTGTCAGGGATTCCTGTGCAAGAAGAACATATTCCTGGTCCTGAAAGTGTGGACAGAGACATAGAAACTCCCTTCGAGAGACCAAAGACAAAGTTAACAGAATCCACACATATGGGATTTTTTCAACAAATGATGTCTACTGCCAGAAGCTTTGGTTTGTAAACCTCCCATCTAAATATCTCTTCATTCCTAGAATTATGATACTGAATGCTGGCATTTGTTTTTATAATTATAGCAGGTGCTTTGTGCCAAAAAATATATATTATGCTCTGGAATGCCGTCATGCACTTAGGTAATTAAGCATTGAATTATTTATTCTCTTAATTAAAGGAGCAGTTTGAAAGAGAGTCTCTAGCTTGTTAAATGAGTAGAGTTTAATTGAATGCAGTTCCGATCACCAAGAGCATACATGATACAAAGTTAACGAATATGCAAGCACATGAAATTGTCAGAATCATGTGCCATGACAGAGTTATTTGGAGCAATGAAGAAGCCTTAAAGTCATTAACTGCACCAGTTATTACTGCCGCAGCATTAGGGACTTACGAGCTTGTCAATGAAATTATGAAGGCCTATTTCTTCTCGTTTACTTTATCGATAAGTGGTGGTGACATATTTCGAACTGCAATTCTAAATCGCCACGAAAAAGTATTCGGTCTTGTAAATAGAAAAAATATTTTACTTACATGGGACAAGGACATGAAGGAAGTGGCTGACATGAGAGTAAAAGAAGACAATATTTTGCATTCCGCTGGAAGGTTTGTCCCTTCAGATCATATTCCGGGTCCCGCATTGCAGATGCAGAGGGAGCTACAATGGTTTAAGATAAGCATCCAACCATGCAACGATTGAGTTCTTTTTATTATTTTAAATACTTCTTCAATTTAAGGCCCGAAACTCATGAAAATGAGATAAATTTTATATAACATGTAGTCCTCAAATTGTCCAGCATTTTCTTATCTATTAAGCTAAGGTTTTATGTTTATATGTTCAGGCTGTGGAAAATTTTGTTCATCCATCCCGTCAAGAACAGCGAAACAAGTCCAATAAAACTCCTAGACAAGTGTTTACCGAATCACACAAGAATTTAGTCAGAGAAGGTGAAAAATGGATGAAAGAGACAGCTTCGTCCTGCACAATTGTAGCTGCACTCATAATCACAGTAGTCTTTGCCGCAGTTTTCACAGTACCAGGTGGCAATGACTCTGCTAAAGGGACGCCCATTTTCTTGCGCAAACCATCTTTCATAGTGTTTGTCATATCAGATGCATTTGCACTCTTTACTTCGACTGCTTCACTACTGATGTTCTTGGCAATCCTCACTTCGCGTTATGCAGAAGAAGATTTTTTGGAGTCGTTGCCGAAGAAGTTAATCTTTGGGCTAGTCACCTTGTTCTTTTCTATTGCAAGCATGATGGTGGCATTTGGTGCAACCATTTACATATTTCTTTCCCATCCATGGAAATGGACCATCATTCCAATTTCCCTTCTTGGCTGTCTCCCAGTATCCTTATTTGCTCTTTTGCAGTTTCCTCTGTTGGTTGAGATGATCTCTTCAACTTACGGACGAAGCATTTTACAACCAACCAAGTAATTCTCCAGAAGAGCAACAGAGGAATACATTACTTTAACAGTACTCTGCCTCTAAGTTACACGTTTTTGTCCCTTTTTTTTATTTGTAAAATGAGTGTAAATGAAATTCTTGAAATTAAGAATTACATGCCTCAGTGCCTCTAAGCCATAAGGCCTAAGTAATTAGAACAGAAAAAAAAAAATCAGAGCAGCAAATTGCTTTGGCACTTTCATTTTAACTTTAGGGGTTTAAATTCTACCTCTTTTATGCTTTGGTGGTGGTGTAATGATTTAGCCTTATGAAATTAAATCTAATTCTGTGTGTTTAGAAAAGATGGACTAAAATTTCTTCTAAGTTACATAATTCTTATGTAAATGACGTTACTGACTTTTGTAAACCAGTATAAAATATGGATTTAACTGGTCTTGTGTTAAAGCCACTTCTCTTTTTCAGTTTATCCTCAAACCTCAATATCTCGAGACTCAAATGCTCTCTTCTTGATAAAGTGGGCTTATACAAGCCCAAAAGTTTTACACTTCCAAGAGTTAGCACACTCCATAATGTCAAGTGGGCTGGTGTAAAAGCCACTTGCAAAAGCTAACATACACCATAACATAAAAGCGGCCCCTCTCGAAACCTTGCATACACCATAACTAGGGGTGTGCAGGAATTTAGAATTGAAAGCAGCAGGTACATGGGGTTCTAGTTCTGGTTGCTACCAGGAACCAGCCCTCACAAGGTTGGTTCTGATTGCACCATTGTAGCTTGTAGGAACCGGAATCAGAAATTGGGAATAAATTAAAATTTTAGAAAAATGTGGGGACCACTCTAAATTTTATCATCAATTTCAATTAAATATTTGGGGGTGTAGTTGTAATTTTCATAGGATATATTTGTTATTTTTGTTAATAGTAAGGATGGGTCGTAATTTTCTCGAGTACCCGAGTCCATGGGAGTTGGCCTAACTATAACTATGATAAAGAGGACTAGTAAAACTCACTCCCAAAAGTTAATTTAAGGGAGGGGAGGGCCTAATGATATATATACATCATAATAACCCACCAACTTGACGATGTGAGGTATCTCTTCTAACCCCTTCTTAATTTTCATCTTCAAATCTTCTCAAAAAAACTGTAAAATATTAGGGAGTATCACGTCATTAACATTTATTAATGTGATTAATAGTTGTTGTATTGAATATTTGTGTTCTAGCCCAGCTTCCCTCTCCTCTCTCATTGTTTCTTGGCTCATTTATTTTCTATCAACCAAAGGATGAACTACTATTCGTATGCTTTCTAAATTTCCTGCAATTTATGGGAACAGAGAGAGGAAATTAAGCAGAAAATACAGAAAGAGAGGACAATTATTATTCTTATTGAAACGTCCGTACAAAACGCAGAATCGATCAAGAAAAAAAGTAGAGAAGAGATAATGAAAACAGACAAAATGAAAGGATATCATTTTATCCATATATTACAGCCTCACGGCGCAATTTCCTTTTCTAAGAACATGTAAAGAGTGATGGAAATATTGAAAAAAGTTGAGTGAGAAAGTGTGAAGAAATATTAGCTAGAATCTTTCCTTCTTTACTTTTGCTGCAATTTGTATTTTGTAGGACCTTCTACTTCTGACTAGAAAACATCCCTTTGACAATAATGCCAACAGGCAATAGGAGAGGTAGATCTGAATGTTTTTTTAAGTATTAAATCCTCTTGAAAATATAAAATATCATTTATAAAATGATCAAAAATCCCTTATAATTATCAAAAACTGCATATCTCTTACAAAATTATCAAACAACCTCCTAAATAAAATGAATGTGTTTTTTTTTTTTTTTTTAAATATCTGGAAAATTTGGCTTAACTATATATAATGGCCGATAAAATTAACCCAACGACTAAAAAGTGAAGAAAAGAGAAGTGGACATTGGTAAATTATTGCTTCTCTCACCTTGTTCAGCACACATTAATATTATTTCCTCCCCACCAAATGCCAGAGTTCAGAAAGGAAAAGTAAAGAAGAAAAGTTTAAACGGACAAAAAGTAAAAGGTCGCAGCAATAATGTATGTTATATAAAGCTTTGGCTATTACACATCATTTCAGCTGGAAGTCACGTACGAAATAATTAAGTCACAATATCTTAATTTCGATATAAAAATTAATTTAAGAAGGTTTCATCTTCTATATTGCCTTAATGTGTGTTCTAACAATATACATAAAAGATATTAGAAGATAAAAACTTTAGCATTTTGATATATTAAAATTAAATTTTTTTTTTTTTGTCTTTATATATAACATACATCAACATAAGTAAATATATTATCTTTTAGTGTCTTTAACATGTACATATGCTCTAAAGACACATGTTAAAACAATCTTTACCTTATGGAAATGAGGTGGTGCAAAACTAGAGGTTTTGGATCATAAAAATGTTTTAAAATGTATAAAATAAGAGTAATGTTATATCCATAAACTTTTCTCACAATTTTTTTCTCACTATACCGACGTGATAGCTCACAATTGGTCAACCGTGGGACCTAAATGGGACACATTACGAGCTGAGAGTTGTCACGTTTGGGTTGTAAGAGAAAATTTGTAAGAAGAAATTGTGGGTGTAACATTTTTCATAAAATAATGGAAAGGCAAGATATTATATTTGCTACAAAGATACGGAGATTACAAAATTAGTTATAAATAATTAATAATGTTTTACAATAATACAAAGGCAAGATTCAGGATATGCTACAAACAAAATTAGGTATGGAGCTTCCTTTCTTTATTAATTACATTATTACAGCTAAATATTACTTCTTTTACTTTTTTTAATCTATTAATCTTTACTTTCGCTTTAAAATTCTACAATTTGTGAATATATTCTCATTAAGGAATTAAAAATAAGCAAGAGAAGACGAGAATTAGAAATCAAGGGGGAAGTTTTGTGGACATCCCTCAGGCTAGGGTTAAAACCCTTATCGGCCATAGGTTTTGAAAACTAAAAATACGACCCCCAACCGTTAGTAAAACTGTTAGGCTCCGTTTGGTACATAGTTTGGGAATGCTATTCTAGTATTCCCAATAAAGTTAAACACAAAATTTGTGTTTGGTTCACTATTATCAAAATATTATTCTAAATTATTCAACTTCTTTTAAACCCCATAAATTTGTTAATTTAACTAAACAACCCAAAAAGAATTTTAAAAATTGACAAAAACACCCTAACAATCCACATTTATCAGATTCCAGCCACCACTGCCGGAAGTTGGCCGAAATCTGATGTAATGGTGCACTACTGACTGAATCTGGCCGGTAGTGCGTCGATCTAACCTTTTCCATGGATCTGGCTAGAAAAGGTCAGATCTACTACCAAAGATCTAGCCGTAGACAGTGGTCAACGACAGCCAAAATATGGTCGTCGTTGACCATCAACGATGGCCGTATCTTTGGCCGTGGATCTGGTTGGAAAAGACCATATCGGCGCACGAACGGTAAGATCCAGTCGGTCATGTGCTGATACGGCGACTCCGGCCACCCTCCAGCGGTGGTGGCCGGCTGTCCGTATTTAATGAGTGGGTTTAGGGTACTCTTGTTAACTTTGAATATTTTATTATAGGGGTTTTTAGTAAATAAACAAACATAGCGGATATTTTTGTTAATTTTTAAAATTCTACATTGTAATACCCATCCAATTTAACTTTTTTCAAAGTATTATTCTAAAAACTATCGAAACCAAACCGGCCCTTAACTTTTACTATAGTGATAATGACATACGCCAGTGGCGAAGCTAAGAATTGAGGAGGGGCAAAAATAATTCAATTAGTAAAAAAAAAAAAAAGAATATGGGAAAAAGACACTCCTGGAATTCATTTCAATAAATAAAAGTTATAAGAACTTTCTTCCGTTTTGACGCACAGAATCTAACGGAAAAAGTAATTCCCAGCAAAATTTTCTTCCGGGGAAGTTATTGCTTTTCCAAGAGATGAAATGAATGATTACAGTTGTTTCTATGTATTGGCTTTAGGCTTTTGAGATCCTTATAAATAGTACTTGAAATTAACTGACAGAGCACTCTTTGTCCTAAACTGATATCGCCAATGGATCCTGCTCAACCTTTCACTAATTTGGTGGAAAGAAAAGGAGACGAAATTACAGAGGTAAATGAAGGTGCATCGGGTAAGCAACCAGCAAAGTCTCAAAGCCATAAGAATGATGAAGCAGTGAATGCCGAAGGTAAGTCAACGACACTGATATTAAGTGAAAATTAATGCATTGCATAGGATTGATTATATCGTTTAAATTCTTTATTTCTTCGACATCTTTCTATCATGTTTTCCATGATGTATTTCCTTTTGTTTCATATTTTGGAATGTGTAGTATAAGTGGAAAACCTGATACCAAAAGTTTCCCTAACTATTTTCTTTTGTAAAACGAAAGATGATGTATGTATTTAAACAGGTTTCGCAGTTTTTCTACATGGCACGTCTCGGGTATCCGAGTCTTGTGGGAGCGCCCGGATCCTACGGGACGAGGAAATTCGGGACGGGTTGTGTCAGTTCTCATTATAAATAATTATCTTTTGAACTCTTTTTAGATTTATTCAGTAATATATGCTCATAATTTGGAATTTATAGTGAAGAAAAGGAGCGAGGGGAATGGGGATCATATTAAGTACCGGTCATTATACAAGGCTGTACAAGAGAATGATTGGAAGGGAGTTGACGATTTCATAACCAAAGATCCCCAGGTGTTGACCGCCAAAATTAAAGTATCTATCGAGGAAAGAGTTATTCACATACTCGAAACTTAGATGCCCCCTTTTGGCTTCTGGAGAAGCTTGCATCGATGGCTGGACCAGAATTACTAGAACGATCGGATAATGAATATGGCCGAACGCCTATATTCGAGGCTGCTAGATATGGCAATACAAAAGCTGCAAAAGCCTTTGTGCTGAATTGCCAAACTTAAAAGACGGCGAGGGTTTTCTTCCAATTCACCATGCTGCAAATCGTGGCCACGAGGAAGCAATTCAATATTTACTCTCAGTGACAAGAGTTCCCTTAGATGACACGAACGGAGTGACTCTGCTTAAAGATCTGATCAATTCTGGTATCTACGGTCAGTATGTAAATTATATTAATTCTCTTTTATCATATAACATTACTAAGGATATGGTATTTATATAATTGTCATGACTCATAGATTCATCTTTCAGATATAAGTCAATTTTGTTTTGCTTTCTTAGTTTTATTAGTTTAACATATTTTCTTCGAACCCTGGTCTTGCAACAAAAATCCTTTGCTCTAATTTTTGGTTGATTTCTACTGCATTTACAGGTATAGCTTTAGACTTATTGAAACGATATCCAAACTTAGCTCGTCTCCAGAACCAGGACAGAGGAAGTATTTTATTAATACTGGCGAATAAGCCTTTGGCGTTTGAAAGTGGAAGCAAGCTTGGATTTTGGAAACGCTTAATTTATAAAAGTTGGCGTCAACAATCTTTTAATTTTTTTACCTTCTCTGCCAAGTCGCAACATACGCAGAACTCTGCGTTTAAAATAATATACATATACAAGTTCCTCATAGAATTTTTCTCTTAAATGTACGTCTCATAACTAATATAATTTGGCAGGGATTCCTGTGCTAGAAGAACATATTCCTGACAGAGACATAGAAACTCCCTCCGAGAGATCAAAGACAAAGTTAACAGAATCCACACATATGGGATTTTTTCAACAAATTTTGTCTACTGGCAGAAGCTTTGGTTTGTAAACCTCCTATCTAAATATCTCTTCATTCCTATAATTATGATGCTGAATGCTGCCGTTTGTTTTTATAGTTATAGCAGGTGCTTTGCGCCAAAAAATATATATTATGCTCTGGAATGCCGTCATGCACTTAGGTAATTAAGCATTGAATTATATATTCTCTTAATTAGAGGAGCAGTTTGAAAGAAAGTCTCTAGCTTGTTAAATGAGCATACATGATACGAAGTTAACGAATATGCAAGCACATGAAAGTGTCAGAATCATGTGTCATGACAGAGTTATTTGGAGCGATGGAGAAGCATTTGAGTCATTATGTCCGTCAGTTCTTACAGCCGCAGCATTAGGGATTTACGAGCTTGTCAGTGAAATTATGAAGGCCTATTTCTTCTGCTTTGCTTTCGCTACAAATGATCGTGATGACATATTTCGACTTGCAATTCTAAATCGCCACGAAATAGTATTTAGTCTTGTAAATAGAAAAAATATGTTACTTACATGGGACCGGGACATGATGCAAGTGGCTGACATGAGAGTAAAAAAAGACAACATTTTGCATTCCGCTGGAATTTTTGTCTCTTTAGATCATATTCCGGGTCCCGCATTGCAAATGCAAAGGGAGCTGCAATGGTTTAAGGTGAGCATCCAACAAGCAATGAAGGAGTTATTTCAATCTAAGGCCCGAAACTCATAAAAAATGAGAAATTTTTTATATATAACATGTAGTCCTTATGTTGTCCAGCATTTTCTTATCTATTAAGCTAAGGTTTTTTGTATATATCTGTTCAGGCTGTGGAAAATTTTGTTCATCCATCCCTTCAAGAACAGCGAAATGAATCCAATAAAACTCCTAGACAAGTTTTTACCAAATCACATAAGGATTTAGTTACAGAAGGTGAAAAATGGATGAAGGAGACTGCGAAGAATTGTACAGTTGTAGCTGCACTCATAATCACAGTAGTCTTTGCCGCAGCTTTCACAGTACCAGGTGGCAATGACTGTGATAAAGGGACACCCATTTTCTTGCACAAACCATCTTTCATAGTGTTTGTTATATCAGATTCAGTTGCACTCTTTACTTCCACTGCTTCATTATTGATGTTTTTGGCAATCCTCACTTCGCATTATGCAGAAAAAGATTTTTTGGAGTCCTTGCCGAAGAAGTTAATCATTGGGCTAGTCACCTTGTTCTTTTCTATTGCAAGCATGATGGGAGCATTTGGTGCAACCCTTTACATATTTCTTTCCCATCCATGGGAATGGACCATCATTCCAATTTCCCTACTTGGCTGTCTCCCTGTATCCTTATTTGCTCTTTTGCAGTTTCCTTTGTTGGTTGAGATGATCTCTTCAACTTATGGACGAAGCATTCTACAACCAACCAAGTAGTTCTCCAGGAGAGCTACAAACAAATTATTCTTTGGCACTTTTGTTTTAACTTTAGGGGTTTAAATTCTACTTCATATGTACTTTATTAGACTTGTTCTTATTGAGACTTTTAAAGTTAAATTTCATGCTCTGTTTTTAGAAAATAATACTTGAAACAAAAAATTATCCCGTTCAGGACTTAATTTGATAAATCTTGTAATTTGATGCAATTTTTAATCTTGTATTGTGTAATTTAACCAAGTGAAACTAATCGATATGATGTATACAAATGAGGAAGAGAAAGAGACGACTCAGACGAGTGTCTTCTATCGTTGCAATATGAATGATGTATAGCCTCTTGTTTCCAACGTCTTCTCTACTTGATTACGACTTTCTAAACAAAGAACAATGTCAGGGGTACTGTGCCAGCGAGATTGCCGAGCTCAAGTCAACATTAAATAGCAAATAATAGAAATATATAAACTGACGGAGCACTCTGTGTCCGAAACTGGTATCGCCAATGGATCCTACTCAACCTTCCACTAACTTGGTTGAAAGAAAAGGAGACGAAATTACTGAGGTAAAGTTGGGTGATTCGGCTGAGGAAACTGCAAAATCTCAGAGCCATAAGAATGATGAAGCTGTGAAGGGGGATGGTAAATTAAAGACATAAAAAGTGAAAGTTCATGCATTTGCATGGTATTCATGATTATATATTTTAAACTGTTATATATATATGTTGACGTGCTTTCTCATGTATACATAATTTAATTGGAATTAACAGTGAGCAGAATGTGTGTAAAAAGCAATCCTGTTCAACCTTCAAATGATCAAATGGTTAGCAAACCGCGAAATTGCAAAGCCGTAAGAATGATGAACCTGCAAATGAAGAAGATAATTATTTAAAGACATACTGTGATGTGGAGTGAAAATTCTCACTTCGCGTTATGCAGAAGAAGATTTTTTGGATTCCTCGCTGAAGAAGTTAATCATTGGGCTAGTCACCTTGTTCTTTTCTAGTGCAAGCATGATGATGGCATTGGGTGCAACCATTTACGTATTTCTTTCCCATCCATGGAAATGGACCAACATTCCAATTTCCCTTCTTGGCTGCCTCCCTGTATCCTTTCTTGCTCTTTTGCAGTTTCCTTTATTGGTTGAGATGATCACTTCAACTTACGGACCAAGCATTCTACAACCAACAAAGTAATTCCCAAGAAGAGCTGCAGAGCAGTAGATTACTTTAACAGAACAAAAAAACAGAGCAACAAATTGCTTTGACATTTTCTTTTTAACTTTTGGGGATTAAATTCTACCTCTTTTATGCTCTAGTGGTGGTGTTATGATTGAGACTTTCTCAAATTAAATCTAATTCTAAACACAGATAAGAGCTTTTTTATTTTATTTTTGGGGTTTAAATTCTACCTCTTTTATGCTCTGGTGGTGGTGTTATGATCGAAACTTCTGAAATTAAATCTAATTCTAAATACAGATAAGAAAATGGCAAGGTGGGTTAAATGGTGAATGAAAATTCAACCTTGTGAGGGCATTTGGAGTAGGGTCTGATACCATGTGCAAAAGCTAGCTCAAGAAAGGAAAGAGTGTAATCACATATATCTATACCATAACAATTCACCAACTCGATGGTATGAGACCAATACAATTTCTAATAAAAAGTAAAAAAATCAAAATGGGATATTAAGAAAAAAAAATATATAAAAAAATATGGAAATTTAATCAAAATATGGCTTTTCCCATTTTTGCCAATTGGGCTGGCCAAGATAATGGGCTTTACCTTGTTTAAATGTTTAATATTTGGTAGCCTATGAAGATGGCTTGAATTGGTGAATGATAAGTCACTTGTTGGCTGTTGCATCTAAACAAACTCTATTTTAGACATCTGTCTGCTTAGGCTTGCTTAAACCTTTATAGATGGATCTGAAATATGATCAAAATACTTGAAACATAAAATATCCCCTTCATGACTTTGATAAATCTTGTAATTTGATGAATGTTTTAATTTTGTAATGTGCAATGTAACCATTTGAACCTTATACTTTATTTCTTCTTTCTTCTCTATTAAAGATCCAACACAAAATTTGAACTATGAGATGGAGTGACCCACTGTCAAAAAGCCTAAAATCATTGTTTATCCTCAAACTTGAATATCTCGGGACTCGGTGTTTTTTTTTTTTTTTTTTTTTTTTCAATCTTCATCTACAAATCTTCTCCAAAAATTTCCAAAATATTACGTTATTAATACTATAAATTAGTATATTTACACAGTATCTAACTTTTATAATTAATGTAATTAATAGTTGTTGGATTGAATATTTATGGTCTAGCCCGGCTCTCCTCTCTTCTCTCTCATTGGTTCTTGGCTCTATTTATTTTCTTTTCATCTTCTCTTCTTCTTTCAGTAAAACGTGATTCATGCACCTCCCCAACTTTTCTACAAGACTAGTTCCAAAGGATGAATTATTCTTCATACGCTTTCTAAATTTTCTGCAATTTGTGGGACCTTCGGACTTTAATTTTCTACAATTTGTGGGACCTTCTGACTTAAATTTTCTGCAATTTGTGGGGACCTTCTGAGTAGAAACAGAGAAAAGAAATTAAGCAGAAGATATAGAGAGAGATTATACAAAATGCAGAATCGGTCAAGAAAAAAGAGTGAAGAAATAATTGAAACAGACAAAATGAGGGGAATCTTCCACCCTTTATTTTATTTTAATTTTGATAGTTCCTTCTTTACTTTTGCTGCCATTTGTAGGACCTACTTTTGACGATAATACCAACGGGAAATAGAAGAGAGAGAGATGAGCCCTGATGAACTGCATCTCAGGGTCAGATACTGACGAGCTCGTTGACCGAGAGTTCTCACAACTTTGGAATAACAGGTGGTGCAAGAAGAGCAAATTTTGGATTATATATTTAATAATGTATAAAATAATGCAACGGCAATATATTGTGTCTGCTACAAAGAGAATTAGATCTGGAGATTCCAACATTAGTTATAAATAATTAGGTGTGGAGCTTTCTTTCTAATTAATTAATTTCATTATTACAGCTAGTTATTACTTCTTTTTTTTTTTTTTTTTATCTTTTAATCTTTACTTTTGCTTTAAAATTCTACAATTTTGAGGTACGTTTTGATTGGGAAACAGAAAAGCTGTGAATATTTTTTCATTCAGGAATTAAAAATCAAGAAAGAGAATATGAGGATTGGAGTTTAGTATCATTTCTGACTGTAAAACTGGTTACGGAATAAGCTTATACAAAAGAAAATCATGAACAAATTGGAAAATTAAGAAGAAAATGAGAGAGACAATTGGAGGGCCACATTAATTATACAGGCAATTATTGATTGGATTGTCAATTTAAGCTTTAAACATTAACAGGGAGGTGCCATTAAGCTGTATTTATTCAACCTTAATAACTGGAGAAAACATATCTAACAGAACATACAAAATAAAATATCTACTCCCATAATTTCATGGACATGTCAAAATAAACTCCCATTGATATTTTCAACTTAACATTAGAGGCTTTGTTCACCAAAATTTTGTTTGATAAATGTAAATCGAAGTCAAAGTAGAAAAACTCAAAACAATTAATCAGAACAAAACTAGCAAATTAAGCAGATATTACAACTATTTAGCAATTAGATAAGCTCTTGCATGACCTTTCGATATCTGAAACTGCTCACTTATACCAAAATTTGCCATAAGAAGCCAGACATGAGTGAGGAGCTCTCCCCCTCGTCTCAGGTGACTACCATGTTCACTTCCTCTTCCTTCACTTGCTGCATAAGTTAACATCTCCAACCAAACATCTCTAACCATCTCCCATTTAACTTTTTCTTCTGAAATTCCATTTATTACCGATGCCACACTGCAAGCATCAAATAAAACGGACTTGCATCTGTCTCCTTTCACTTTGATAGGCTTTACGTGAGTTTTCACTCCCAATAACATATTCCAAGCTACATTCTTATTTTCTTCAATTTTTTTCTTTTTATCAAACCCTCGTTCTTTGAGAAATTTCATGGTCTCCTCTCGAGTATCCTGTAACCTGATTAGGCCTATCCCAACTGGCAACAGGGAAGGATACATAACTAGGAGATACATCATATAATTTGACAAGACACTGCTCATATCACAATTCTTTTTGATATCAGCTGAAATGCTTCCCCTATTATTTGAGTAAACGCAGCAGAGTTCTGTTGCAATGTGCCAGATAAGGATGCTTTGGTCAAACTCAACGTCCTTAACACTCCATTCAAGATCATGAACCGAAGAAGGAATAAGCTCGTTATATTTTTTAAGAACGCGGCTTCCTCTTGTGTTTAAGTCTCTAAGATTACTGTCGTTTCCTTGTCTCTTCTCAGATTCTTCAAGTTTCTTCTCAAATTCTTCAAGTTTACTCTTGACATGTTTGAATATCATCTCTTTCAAGTCTTCGGGAAGTTGGATGTGGAAGTTATATTGATGCTTCTCCCATAGTTTAAGCACGTGGATGTGCTTCAGGACTTTGTAGTAACCAGGTCTCTCTTCAAAACAATGCCTTGTAAAACTGTATTGCGCAATGAGATTTGACCACCGTGATGGTTTTATAACTGGTTCCAAAAGCTGTATGGGTTTTAATAAGATGGCAATCTCCTTGTGCTTAATGAACCAAATTCTGGACTGGTCTGAGAGGACTAGAACAAGAGCAGCATATATTTCTAGACCAATAGCTACCCATAGCAACGAGTAGGTTATATAAATGTCAACCTTTTGATAATTCTGCTTCTCTGCAGAATAAAAAATCCCCAACACAACGCAGGTTAAAAGAGTAGAGATAAAGCGGCAAGCAAGACCACGAACAGTAGTAATTATTGTGGCCTTGGTGTATAGCAAATCATACATGAACCCCAGTTCAATGGCGATCACATCAAAAACATCTTTGTAATTTTTCATCTTATGAAATAAAGATTGACTCGTCTCGCGCTCTTGGTTGCTAAGGATGAGATCTGCTAGCAGACGCTTGAACAATTGAAACAATGCATGTGCGTGTTTAATTTTATCATCAGAAGTGAAATTGTCTTGAGATTCAGGTGTGTCTATTGTAATTGCTACCGCATCAGGCATCTCTTCTGTCTTCAACATGTACCCCTCGGCATGTTTCAAACAGTACTCATGCATGAATCTGTGATAATTGGGACCAGCTTCAGGAGGAGAGAGCATAGAGTCTCTAAGTCGATTACTGCTTGCTAACCAAAGAGTAAGAGTCCTCTCTGCGTACTTGATGAAACCAACAATAATCATTGGAATTGCGAGACGTGAAGGATGAGAACCATTCCATGCCGTGAGAAAGATTAATATTGTTGCCAGTGTTTGGACAATTAGTTGAAATGCGTGGCGTAAGAACAATTCATTGTCTTCTAAGGCATAAGCTGTAATAGTATCAGGGCCACCCAAATGCAAAAGAAAAAATGGTGCCCAAAATGCAGTAACCTCCGTGTTTTTGTCAGCATGGCCACGATTGTGATAGATTTCTCCGAGGTCATTTAAGAGTATGCCAAGGGCAATGGTTGCTACAGAATCTGCGAGCAAGTAGGCAGACCAGACTACCGCTTTGATCCAAATTCGGGGAATACACTTTCTGCGATTTCCCAGAACAATAAGAAGTATTTGACAGGTGAGGCTGACGTAAACCAATGCTCTTAGCCTCCCCATTCCTTCCACACTTTTCTTAATTCTGGAGGAAACACCTCAATCATCTTCCTCGTCTGCGTTATCATAAAGCCGCTAAAACTGAAGATGAACACACATTGAGTATACATACAGGGAGAAAAGAAAAAAAAGGATAGAAATTAAGTGAAGTACAGACCTGTGGCTATCATCGCATGGTATTGCAGAGCTATTGCAAGAGAAAATATCTTCCAAAGAGGACTCAATGTGCTCTACGCTTGCAGGAGATAGAGGAAGAGAGAGAAAGAAAAAGTCAATATACAGTGCGAATGTGCTATTGTACGCCAAATAATAATCATTTGATCTCTTCTTTCTTATTTAAAATCGTAATATCCATCTTTCTATACAATGTCCTGAAAGGATTGGGCCGATCAAGGGCTCGGTTCTGGGTTGACTGATGACAACAGCCATTCCAGCAGACTTGAAATCTAGGAAACACATCTCTGTAAATTACATAGTAATCCTTAAAAGTTTGAAATTCAGCAAAAACACCTTTGCCAAATTACAATGCATCTCTCAAGTTTGAAATTCAACAAAAACACCTATGATTGGGCAATCGTGCGAAAAGACTTTCGACAGGACGACCGAAACCAATCAGAGTTCAAGATGATGAGACTTTTGATGTGGAGATGAAGGCAATCTTAGACCATCTCCAACCCATTGCACTAATTTGGTGCAAAACACTATTCATCTCCAACCCACAATACCAAATATTACACCAAAAAGAATATTTCTAGAATATTCTTAGAATATTCTTTTTTTTTCTTTTATTGTAATAATCAACAATTAATTTATTTCACTCGTTATTTTGTATATATTAATTAAATATTGGGAATGATATTTTATTAATAATAATATTTTGAAAATTATACTAATTTAATAAAATTAAGCATTTATTTAATCAAATAAACATTACATTTAAATAGAAAAACATTACATCTAATATAAAATGATAAAAAAAAAAAAAAAAAACAACACAACAACACAAAGGTAAAATTTGTGGCTTATTCAAAAAGATAGTTGTCCATTCAAGCTTTTGAGATTTGTGGCTTATTCAAAAAGATGTGTTGTCCATTCAAACTTTTGAGATTTGTGACTTATTCTAGAAGATGTATTGTCCATTCAAGCTTTGAGATTTGTGGCTTAGCAAAAAGATGTGTTGTCCATTCAAGCTTTTGAGATTTATGGCTAGTCAAAAAGATGTGTTGTCCATTCAAGCTTTTGAGGTTTGTGGCTTGTTTAAAAAGATGTGTTGTCCATTCAAGCTTATGTTATAAAAGGGCATACAACACATTAGTTTTGAACACATCTCTTCTACTTCCTCTTAGAAAAAAAAAAAAAAGCATAATCTTCTTCATTCGTGTTACAAAATGACTACACAACGAGTTCTTCGTACACAAATGAAGAAGACATGCATCTATGTCATATTTATCTTGATATTTCTCAAGACTTCATTTTAGGTATAAACCAATCTAGTGATCAATTCTGGTCTCGAGTTGAGCTTGACTACAATAGTTCCAAACCCGTGTTCTCACCGAGGTTTGAAACAAAAGATCTTTGCAATGTCGAATGCGACTGATCTTTAAAGCTATTGGCAAATTAGGGGATGCGTACGTCAAATTGAAAATATGAATCAAGTGGTGCATCTAAGCAAGATATTGTGAGTATTTGTTACATTTCATTCAAGCGCTTTTTTTTTTATCTAATTTATTTTAACGTTATATGTATATTGTTTTGTAGATGATTCAAGCCAAAATGTACTAGCACAAGATAAAAGTTACGAGAAAGGTTTCAAATTTGATCATGTGTGGCCTATACTTAAGAATATTAAAAATTTACAGAAATGTAACGCTGCAGAAGTATTTCAAAGGCAAACCGATAGGTTTAAATCCACAAGAATCAGAGACTCCCACTTCAAAATCTCCCCAATCGATGCCTTGTGACAATCGTCAAATTCTCTAAACATAAGTGATGAAAAAATGGGGGTAGTCAGCTCAACGACCCATTGGGGTGAAGAAAGCAAAATTTAAAAGGAAAAATTATAAAGAAGTTTTAAACAGTTTTGAAACTATTCAAGAAGAAATGACAGCTCCCTGTTATTTTCAGGGGCAACTCAGCTAGGGCACAAAATTATGAAATCCAATGAAAAACTTGGCTTTGGCAGAATATCGAGAAGATAACAAAATTTTATTCAAGGATTTGAATTTATAACCGATCCAGCCTAGTGAGTTTTTTCAAAATGAGCAATTAAAATATGCAAAAAAGAGCTCACAACAAGGTCAAGGATTTCAAAATAACTCTAGTTCTTTTCAATATTTTGATGATCTACTGGATCCGGAACTAATCTACCGAATACTAAATTGTTATTTGAGTTTATGTTGTATTTTCTTAATTTTGTGTTTTAAATTAGTGTTATTTTTATTTGAGTTATTGTAGATTAATATTTGCATTGAATAAAGTTCTATTTTAATTTTTATCATTTTTAAATATATCATTATTATAAATAATAATCAAATTAATTAAATACAAATACTCAAATTGATGTGATTTTTGGTGTAAAATTTAATACTCAAATTAACTTAACAAATTAAAACAAAAAACAAAAAAAGCAAAATTAAAAAAATATATATATATATTATTCGCGCTACAGTGTTGCACCATTTTGGCGTCGCGCTACAGTGCCGCGCCAAAATGGTGAGCACTGTAGCACCACGCCAAAATGGTGCATCCAACCCACGCCAATTTGGGTTTTTTACGCCATTTTGGCGTGGGTTGGAGATGCCCTTATGGTGGTGTCAGGGAGGTCGACTGGGATTGAAATCGGCCAAATCAAGGAAGAAGTTACCTGTTGGATCGACGGTTTTGTACTATTTCGCCGGTCCAAATTCGACCCAATCTAGGCCAATTATAAATCCAGGTTTGAGGGTAAACCAGACCAGAGTTAGTGTTGATTCCTGGTTGGACCGGCCGGTCCGGTTTGTTTTCTAACATTGCTTTCTAACCCTTATATTTAAAATTGATAAAATTATTAACCACCCAAAATTTCGAGGTGGATGTTGAGTTTGAACTTTTAGTAATTTCTCTCAATTTCTCCCTGAAAGTTAAAGAAATTACTCAGAAACCAGTATTGTCCTTACCTTATGTGAAAAATCCAATTTTTTTACACTTATTTGAAAACTTTGCTTGGAAAAAGGAAAAAGAAAGGTCCCATACCATCTTGCTTAGAATACTTAATAATATCTTACAAAATTTGTATAAAACGAACAAACTATTGCATTACATTTAAGTTGTTAGTGCAGATAGTTGCCGACTCAATTGTCTACTTGGTGCTCTAGTTTAGAGTGCTTGACCTCACAATTGGTGCACCATCTCTCTGTTTACTCTTCTGCCGGAGTTCTGCTGCTGTTCTTACTGATTCCTTTAAAAAATGAAACAAATGTCAAGCAATTTTTAGTCTATCTTTAAAGTGATTGGAAGAAGAAAAAAAAGGGCAAAGGAGTTAAACATAAAAACTTGGGTACATAGAAAAGACAATTAAACAATAAACTCACCCATGAAGGAATAAATCTCCAATTGTTGACCCCTGTCTTACTGCCAAAGATTTCTCTAACATCAGATACAAATTTCTCATTCATATTCGTTAAGGTCAATTTCTCCAAGGTAGTCAAGCCCTCCAATCCTGTAGGCTTCTGCAGATTTCGGCAATATCTGATCTCTAATTCTTTTAGCACAGGCATTGCTCCTTCAATTTTCCACTCGCTCAGATTCAATAGCATCCATAACTTTAGAACCTCGAGTTTAGAAAATCTACCTGCAGGGCCACAAATCATTGTTTTCCCTGAGTAAGAATTAGCGTAAAGCCTGAGGATTCTGAGGTTTTCCAGCTGTCCTAGCGCTGGCATTGGATCTTCTGACAGTTTTGACACTGACAATGTAAGGACTCTGAGTTTGGAGGGAAGTTCTTCAAGGGAAATCTTAAAGCCGTTTGGTAGCTGTCCCACCAAATACAAGTCTGTTAGCATATTGTTGGATATCCATTTGAGGTTGGAAGGTTCACCATTGTCATCTACCGATCTCAACCGCAGAGAATGAAGACTGGTTCGTGTAGAAAGCCAGTCAGTTATTCCCTCAATTGATTCTGTGTGGCATGTCAATCCCAATTTCCTAAGGCTAATCAACTTCGTCAACCAGTGGACTGTAGGGCTGTTCTTGCCTATTAGTAGGCCTGACAATGTCTGAAGGGTATTTAAAGAACTACTGGAGATTTGTTTGGACGTCTCAAAATCAATCCCGTTCATATAGAGGTGCAGAAGCTTCTTAGCATTGCAGATGGAATTAGGTAATTCAGATATATTAGTGTGCTTCACATCTAAAGTATCTAGACAAGGAATATCACCTACTGACTCTGGGATTTCGTCCAGAAATGTCCGTCTCAGACCGACGTACTTTAGAAGCGGCAGCCTTCTTAGTGTTTCAGGTAGCAGCACTGGCTTGTATACACGTTCCAGATCAAGCAGTGTGAGCAATCCAAAGCCTCTCTTGGTGATTGTCCTTTCCAGGAAATTGCCTACTCCATCTGCAGCTTTATCTCCCTTTCCCTTGTTAAAAGATATATATGAACGTAATTGTTTAATTTCTTCATCTTTAAGAGGATTGTTCTGAATGTCCACTTGTTCTGCAAGCCTACGGATGCTAAGATTTGTTGATGATTTCGATTCAGGACCTGAGTTAGAATGGACGTGAAAAAATCCCAGGCTCTTGGCATTTGAACATAGCGAATCATAGGGAAGACCTTCCACACTACATGTTTTAGGCCTTCCATCTGACTTTGCCATCTTGATCATGTTTCTTTGCTCCAGTTGTTGAAGATATTCTTCCACTAGATCTTCAGGTTCTTTATCGCCATTTGTCAAGACTTCCACCAAGCCTTCTGCAATCCACAATCTAGCCAACCTTCTTATGCGGATTAGATCTGATCTTGGGAAAAGACATAAATAATTGAGACATGCCCTTAAACGGAAGTTTAAGTCCTGATAGCCCAAAGAAAAGATATCGGAAGCGCTCAAGTCATCTGAGGAAACTGATTCATTTGAAGAAATGGATTGATCTTCTACTTGTTTGCTGTAAGAGGCTGCATTTACAGTCCCTCTTTTTTCTGCCAAAACCACCCCTGCTTCTTCAATCTCTCCTTGTTGAATCTGCTTACCAGCCCTTTTTCTTTCCTCATCAATCTCCTTTACTTCTTCAATCTCTCCTCGCTGAGAATGTTCACTAACGCTTTTTCCTTCTCCAACGGCCTTTGCATCTACAATCTCGTCTAATTGAGAATGCTCACTAGTACTTTGTTCTTTGTTTTCTCGCTTTGTACGCTCAGTAAACCCTTCTTCTTCCTTCTTGTCTTGCATTGCATTCTCGCTCGTCCCTCCTTTTCTCTTTTGTTGGGTAGACTCAATAGCTTTTAACCATGCATCAGAGCCAGGTTCCTTAGTGGACAATAAACCAGCCAGCATGCATATTGCAAGAGGTAGACCCTTACATTTTTGCAAGATCTTTCCCTTGTGCTCCACCAAATATGAATTAGCTGATATTTTTTGTTTCAGTTTCTCCGAAAACAACTCCCAACTCTCTTCATCATTTAGTCGACGTAGATTGTGACAATAATATATCGATGGATCAATATTTTCAGCTACATTAAGATCACGGATAGTTAGGACTACCCTGCTACCACTTAAGTAGCTAAATGGGAAGACCCTTTTGAGTTTGTCCCAAGTATCAGGTGTCTGGACATCATCCAAGACTACCAGGTACCTCTTTCCAACAAATAAATAACGAAGCCTCTTCCGCAATTCCTCAAGGGACAATTTCGCCTCGTCCTTAACCTCTGTAACCTGCTTTAATATCTGAAGTAGGAGATTTCTCTCTTCAAAAACTTTAGAAACAGAAATCCAAACACGGTTATCGAATTTCTGCTTTATATGTGACTCGTTGTAAACTGTATTTACCAGAGTTGTCTTACCAGAGCCTGCGACACCCACCACTAGGATTAAAAAATGCAACTGGTACCGCCTACAAATTAGTTTATGCAACTTCTGTATTTCATCCTTCAGGCCAACAATATCAGTTTCCTCATCCAACGAAGTGCAGACATCTTTATTTAATGCTGACGGTGACACCAACTCTGTTCCAAAGATTGTACCCAAGAACCTTGCATTAGGAATACTCGGTGCTGCAGCGGCTCCATGAAAACTTACAATCATCCGACCACCATCTAAATTCGGTAGAGCAGAACTCAGAGACTCCCAGACCTTAGGAGTTCGGAGATCGTAGAAAACTAATAGGTACTTCTTATTACTTAAGAAACGGCAGAGCTTTCTTTGCAGCACCGTTGGAGGCAAATCATTTTCCTGCTTCATTCCTGTAAGTTGTTCCATGACACATTTTATAGCTTCGTAGACATCAGAAACATAAGTCCAGGCGCAGCATTCAAAATGCTCCTTGATAGTGCAGTAAGTCCTCCATAGCAGAGTCGTATTGTGAGAGCCTCCAGGACGACCCGCCGCTGACAAGAGCAAAATTGGCAAGTCGTCATGAAGGATTAATTCGGCTAACTTCTTTGCTGTATCTTCCAAATCAGAAGTATCATCTTCATCTGAAAAACTTGATTCCAGACCCGCACCAACGTCAGCTCCGGCGTTGCCATCAACAAAGTGCTTTCCTTGAACTTGGATATCTTCATATGAAAATTTCGATCCCGAAGTACCCTCTCCGAAGTTTTTGCTCTCCAATGGCGGGACTTGCATATCCTCCACATTGGTTGGTGAGTTTTGTGGATGAACTTCCGCATCACCAACTTTCATATCTTCCGATAATAAGTTACTAGGGGAAACCATTGGCTCGACATGAACGGATTTGTTGTTTATGAAAGTTGTTAAATGTTCAACAAAGTTTCCCATCTTACGGCTTACACGAGATTGGCTATACTCTGATTTCAAGTGGATTGAAGGGAAAGACTTTTGTTTCTGCGATATCGTACTTGCAAGGAAGGTATCTATGGTGTCCTCTGCATCATAAACAGCTCGCAGAAGCTCGATCTTCCCGTTACCATTTGTCAGATGGCTTCCTTTGTCATCCTCTAAAGCTTTCAAGGTTGTCAGAGACTCTTTGAGCTTCGCGATGGACTCATTGACTTGTTTTAGCAAGCTGGGATTTCCGATCTTTGTTGTATCTCGAAGGTTTTCTAGCTTCTCTCTCAAAAGCGAAATGGTTATCTCGGCTGCCATGGATTCTGAATCTCCTTGGTCTTCTTAGTGCTTTTTATTTTTCTTCTTTCAAAGTTGGCTTACAGATTTAAGATTGAGAAACTGTGAGCGAAGGAGTGAAAAGATGAGAACAAAAAAATTCAATACAAGTAGGAAGAATGAATGGTGTTGTATTAAAAAGGTAATTTTAACAATTTATATAAAAAAAGGTTTTATTAGTTGTGTATAATTAATCCTATTTGCTTATCATGACAGGCTACCACTATTTAGATCTGCAACAGTCTAGTTTTTGCTGCACACAAATGCATAAATTTAATTAAGTCACTCTTATTTTACTCTGTATTATGAAAACCGGATTGGACCGTCTGATCGGACCAGTTCGACCGGGATCTAACAACATCTTCGATCCAGTATACTCTAAAAACCGGTATTTATAATCAAACCGGATTGAACCGCAGTTGGACCGTCAGAATAGTGTCGAATCGCAATCCAATCGCAACTCAATCCCATCAGATTCCGGCATCATTTGGGGGAGAAAACACCACCATTAGTCCATTGTTTTAAAAAACCAAACCACTCGTTAACCCGGTCAAGGGCCAGATTCACAGGTTGACCGGTCCAACCAATTGGACCGGTTGGTCTCACCGGTATACAGCAGTCACATCTTTAAACAATTCCATTAATTGTTATAAGTTTGAAACCAGCAAATATATTCTAAAATTTACCTATAAGCCCTTATAAATTTAAAATAAAGGAAATGCACCTACAGATTTTATTATTAATTATTTTTTCTCTCTTCCCATCATTTCCATCTTTCTCCTTTTTTCTCTCTTCCCATCACTTTCTTCTTTCTCTTTTTTTTCTCTCTTTCTCCCCATCACTCCCCATCACTTTCTTCTTTCTTCTAACACATTCGCGTCTGTCACTTTCTTCTTTCTTCTTTCTTCTAATACATTCGCGTCTCTCTACTGTAATTTTTCTCTTCTCTTCTCTTTCTTCTTCCTTCTCTTTCTCTTCATCTCCTCTTTTCTTTCTTCTAATCTTCTTCCTTGCTCTTTCTCTTGTCTCCTCTTCTCTTTCTTCTTCCTTCCCCTCCCTTTAATTCTTCTTCTTTACGCTATAGATTTTAGAGTAATTGAAGAAGAATAGAAGATGAAAATGGAAGATGCAATTTGACTTTTTTATTCAAATGAAATGGAGAATGAAACGGTGTTGCAAATTGGTTTAGGAATTAGGAATGTGAATTTTTTAGGATCAGATACCCAAACATAGCAAACCATTTTAAGCCCTGGGCTAGTTGGACCTATGATTTTGTACTGTTTCGCCGGTCCATTACCAGTCCAAAGTGGGTTTAATGACATTCCCAGTTTTTATGTTAACCCGGACCGGAATAAAGGCCGGCTTCCGATCAAACAGGTAAGATCGACCGGTTCGGTCCGGGTTTTAAAACAGAACATTAGACTTGACAACATCTCCATGACAAAACAAATCCATTTTTAGTGGCTATTGTCCAGCTTTCGTTGCTCGTCATCCACCTATAGTTCACATGACTATCGGACTTCCTTCTTGATTCTGGCAAATTTTGGCACCGGTGCAACTCCCTAACACCACCATAAGATTCGCCAGCACCTATACATCAAAAGCCTCATGATTCCAAACTTGGATTGGTTGTTGATGGTCACTGCCGCCACTACTCACCAGTCTATTCGCGCGACAGGGGTGTTTTGGATAGATTTCAAACCTTAAGGGGGTATTATAGGGGTATTTTTGATGAAGTTCAAACATTTAGGGACTAACATGTAATTTTATAGAATACAGTCCAACCGATCGATCCAACCGGTCAAACCGAGAACCGAATCCTTGAATGAGTCATAGTCCGATCCGGTTTTCAGAACANGCAAGCTTGGATCTCCAATCTTTGTGCTAGAAAGAAGGTTTTCTAGCTTCTCTCTCACAAGCGAAATGGTTATCTCGGCTGCCATGGATTCTGAATCTCCTTGGTCTCCTCAGTGCTTTTTATTTTTTCTTCTTTCAAATTCGGTTTACAGATTTAAAATTGAGAAATTGTGGGCGAAGGAGTGAAAAAGATTCAATACTACTAGGAAGAAATGAAGAATGAATGGTGTTGTATCAAAAAAGTAATTTTAATAATTTATATAAAAAAGTTTTATTAGTGATGTATAATTAAATTAATCCAAGTATTAATATTGGAAAATACTGTTGGTCAGTGCATATAGTTTTATTCATAATTAATTCTATTTGCATTATTTATATTCTCTAACCCTAACATCTTTTTTTTGGCCCTTTCCCCCTATCTTTCTTTTTTCTCTCTCTCTTCTCCTTCTCTTTCTCCTTCCTTTCTTGGGCGCCGTCAGAGGAGATTGTGTGGCTGCCGTGAGTTCCTCCTTTGGCCTACCACGAGCTCTTCCCTTGGCCACCAATCTACTCTTGTGGTGGTGAGTCATTTAAGATGGACCCATCTTAAACTGTGTTTTGTGGTGGATCTTTGGGTGGTTGATGATGGATTTTGTGGTGGTTTATAGAGGTTTTGTGGTGGTAGAGAAAGAGGGGAAAAGAAAGGAGGTAAAAACGAAAATAAAAAACAAGATGGGGGATAAATGAGAAGAAAAGTCTTTAATAACTTTTAGTAAATAACGTCAAATGAATTTTTTTTCAAACTTTAATTTATGATATGAGACGTTTTAATAGAAGACCCTTTTTTTTTTTTTTTTTTTTTTCAAGTTTGGGGTGACTCAACTTAATTTATGTATATCACGATTAACTTTTTGGACTCTGAAATTATCGATTGGTCAAAAATTTTAGTGACTATTTCTTTTAGTAATCGAAAAAGGATTTAAACTTAAGACTATTTGAATAATACATCTAAAATTTTTTATCAAATTAATCATTTGATTATCTAGAGATAATTAATAAAAAATGTTTGTTATTTATTAAGAATACTTTAAAAAATAATATTATATCAATAATTCACTTTTATAAAAATTTTTACATAATTGTAATGTAATAGCTTTTAATTCATCAATAATAGATTTTATATGAGTTTTATCTGAGTTTCACTCGTTAATTATGAACTCACTCATTATAAACTGTTGATCAGAATTTTGATAAAACATTCATGAAAAAGGGTTATCGGTATAGTGTCGGTAAGCATATTTGTAGGAGTGACAGCAAGGTTCACTCCTGGTCGAGGGTCAAGACCTGCATCATCAAACTTTTTGACTCAAAGACCTTTCAATTCAAAGCATCGAGCCGCCTGGCAGAGCCTGGGTCAAGTCATTAATATAGGAGGGTCCACTGCTTTGGAAAATTAGATAGACCGGTCTGATTTTTTTATTTTAAAAAATATTTTTCAAATAAATTGAAAGCAACCTTATTGATTTTAAAATATAAAAAATAAAATTTTTAATCAAACCTAATAAATTTATTAAATTTTAAGGAATAAAATATAATTTTTAATAAAAAATATAATAAAAAAATAAATTATAAATAAAATATATAAAAATTTATTATTTATTATTTAAAATTAAGATAAAGAGTAAAATTTAAATATAGAGAGTTAAATTTACTATTTAATCTATATTTAAAAAATAAAGAGTCTCTTGAATTATTATTTTTATGAATAAACTTTAGATTATATAAATAGTTATTTAAAGATACTCTAAGAACTATCTTTAAGGGACTCTTTATATGATGCAAATTCTTTATTATAAAGAGTCTAATAGACCTTTTATTCCTTAAATATAAATTAAAGAGTGTGTTTGACTCTTCATATTTAAGAAATCAAATTTTACTTTTTATCTTAATTTTAAATAATAAATAATAAATTTTATTTATAAATTATCTTTCTTATTAAGTTTTTTTTAAATATATTTTCTTTTAAAAATTAAAAATATAAAATTATTTTGAATAAAAAATTTATTTTTTATATTTAAAAATTAATTTATGAGGATGCTCTTTACGAAAAATACTCTTTGCAATAAAGAAAATGTCACCACGTTCAGTCACCGAAAATAATAATATTAAATAAATTAAGTAAAGGGAGTGATTAATTATTGACCGACTACAAGCACCTTCGCGTTGGTATTCTGTACATTTTGACGTCTCGTCCTCGTGAGTACTACTGTTTTTCGTATTTGAGAAAGATGCAAAGAGAGGAAATCACTTACATGGAGCAAAGAATCAGCAATAACGGTTTCAATCAGAGAAGTGAACTGCTGGAGCATGTTCAACCTCACAAAGAGATGAAGTTCAGCGGTAAAGATGAATCCGGTAGTTCGAGTCATGACCCTCCGGAGAGAGAAAGTAAGTTGAATACATGCACTGATAGTATTTCAGTATTACTTTTAAATTCTTATACTGAGTATTTGTGTTGGCAATTTGAAATTTATAGTGAATCCAATTAATGAGGAGATTAAGGATCATGTTCGGTACTGGAAATTATACAAGGCTTTACAAGAAAATGACTGGAAAAGTGTAGATGATTTCATAAGGCTAAATTCTGATGCCTTGACAGCCAATATTAGAGTACATTGGCAGGAGACCATTTTTCACATAATTACTCGGAAGTTAGGCACACCCTTTTGGCTTATCAACAAGCTTGTTTCAGAGGTCCCTGCAAAGCAACTAGAACAGTTGACAGATCGGTATGGCGGAACGGCTTTGTTCTGCGCTGCTTCGTTCGGAAATAAAAAGGCTGCAGAAGCTTTTGTGGATAGGAACAAGGATTTGCCTAATTTTCCGAACATCTATGGTTTACTTCCGATTCACCGAGCTGCGGCATGTGGCCACAGGGAGATGATTCAATACCTACTGAAAGTGACAACTGCTCCTTTGAATGATGACAAAGGCGTTACACTGCTAAAAAGTTTGATTAGTTCTGGTCTCTATGGTAAGCGCTATCCCTATTAGATTATGATTATAGAGTATCCGAACTTTTTCCCACTTTAGGTTTGCCTTAATGACTTTCAACCCAAAAAGTTTTGAAATACCACTTTCCCACCCAAAGCTTATATTCGATTAATATCCAAAGCCGATTTTGATCAATTCTAACAGCAAAAATTATTTCTGTCACCACTATGTGAACTTCCGATCTCTTCTTTACAAAACCCCTCTCACTCCAGTATCTGATTTTTCGTCGATTGCCTATTATCGTAAAAATAAGGTTTTCTGTTCTTAGCTGATTTTCGGCAAAGAAGATTCAATCGGACACCACCGTTAGATCCATTGGCCTCCATTCTACAAAACCCCTCTTACCTTAGCTACTTTACAAAACTCCTCTTATCCTAGCTACTAGTAACTCGTCAAACGTCAGCTGAGAAAATGAAGTGTATTTTTGGTATTAACAGATTTTAAATTTTAGGTAGAAAAGTGGTATTTTGAAATTTTTAGACAGAAAAGGTAATTAAGGCAAACCTTAAGTGGGAAAAAGTCATTTACTCTTCGATTATATAATAGGAATTTACTTTTTCTGATTAAATAATTAGACGACATTCAATTATCAACATAAGTATCTTAAATAAGTTGTCAATAAATATGTTTAGATTATATTTAATTGTTTTTAATGTACAGCCTTCATGAGATCTTTAAAAACTCTAGAACTAAGATGAAGAGATGATCTTAATTTTTCTTTCAACTCCATCTACAGGTTCAGCTTTTGATTTATTGAAGAAATATCCGGACTTAATATCTAAGACTGAGGACAGAGGAAGTATATTAGAAGCGCTGGCTAATAAGCCTCTTGCATTTGAAAGTGGGAGTGGGTTTGGCTTTTGGCGACGCTTAATCTATCATTGTACGTTACTCACCATCTTCTCAGATTCATAAAATATGAACACGAATAGTCTTTTAATTGAGGAATTCATAAAATATGTTCAGCTGCAGCCTCACACCGTATGGTGTGTAATCTAGCATTCATGATAACCAAGTACATCAAATTAAAAATCCATTGCATGTGTATTTTTACAGGGATTCCTTTACAGGAAGAACATATTCATTACCCTGAAAATGTGCATGGAGATGAAGAGAATCAAATTGAGAGTTCAAAGAAGTAAAACAATTCACTTTTTTTGGATCTATCGTTCGACAAATCTTCACTAGATTTGGTTTGTTGATCACCTTCTATCTGAGTTCATACATATACTAAGTTAGTAATTATAATAACTTTATGATCTAATCAAAAGCTACTATTGTGTATGTCACAGGTGCTTTGGGCCAAAGATTACACATTATGCTCTGGAATGCCCTCACACATTCAGGTAAATATTAAACATTTAAAGAATCATTTCTATTTAAAATGGGTACTCCAAGAGCCATCTTTTGTTGATTTGTGTTGAACTGCAGTTCCAGGCATCAAATACATTCGTGATACGAAGTTAATGCACATGCAAACCCTTGAAATAGTTCGAATAATGTGTCATGAGGGAGTTATTTGGAGTAGTGAAGAAGCCTCCCAGTCATTGTGCAACCCAATTCTCACAGCCGCAAGATTGGGGATTTGCGAGATTGTCCGTGAAATTCTGAAGGCCTGTTTCTATTCTTACACTTTTGGGAATGAAAACCGACATGCTATATTTCATCTTGCAATTTTACATCGCCAGGAAAAAGTTTTTAATCTAGTAAATAAAATGGACTCGTTTTTATGGGAGTGGAAAGCGGCCAACAGGTATGAAAGAACCAATAACATTTTGCATTTAACTGCACGGTTGGTAATTTCAAGTCAAGTCTCTGGTGCNCTTAATATCTAAGACTGAGGACAGAGGAAGTATATTAGAAGCGCTGGCTAATAAGCCTCTTGCATTTGAAAGTGGGAGTGGGTTTGGCTTTTGGCGACGCTTAATCTATCATTGTACGTTACTCACCATCTTCTCAGATTCATAAAATATGAACACGAATAGTCTTTTAATTGAGGAATTCATAAAATATGTTCAGCTGCAGCCTCACACCGTATGGTGTGTAATCTAGCATTCATGATAACCAAGTACATCAAATTAAAAATCCATTGCATGTGTATTTTTACAGGGATTCCTTTACAGGAAGAACATATTCATTACCCTGAAAATGTGCATGGAGATGAAGAGAATCAAATTGAGAGTTCAAAGAAGTAAAACAATTCACTTTTTTTGGATCTATCGTTCGACAAATCTTCACTAGATTTGGTTTGTTGATCACCTTCTATCTGAGTTCATACATATACTAAGTTAGTAATTATAATAACTTTATGATCTAATCAAAAGCTACTATTGTGTATGTCACAGGTGCTTTGGGCCAAAGATTACACATTATGCTCTGGAATGCCCTCACACATTCAGGTAAATATTAAACATTTAAAGAATCATTTCTATTTAAAATGGGTACTCCAAGAGCCATCTTTTGTTGATTTGTGTTGAACTGCAGTTCCAGGCATCAAATACATTCGTGATACGAAGTTAATGCACATGCAAACCCTTGAAATAGTTCGAATAATGTGTCATGAGGGAGTTATTTGGAGTAGTGAAGAAGCCTCCCAGTCATTGTGCAACCCAATTCTCACAGCCGCAAGATTGGGGATTTGCGAGATTGTCCGTGAAATTCTGAAGGCCTGTTTCTATTCTTACACTTTTGGGAATGAAAACCGACATGCTATATTTCATCTTGCAATTTTACATCGCCAGGAAAAAGTTTTTAATCTAGTAAATAAAATGGACTCGTTTTTATGGGAGTGGAAAGCGGCCAACAGGTATGAAAGAACCAATAACATTTTGCATTTAACTGCACGGTTGGTAATTTCAAGTCAAGTCTCTGGTGCAGCATTACAAATGCAAAGAGAGTTACAAAGGTTCAAGGTGATATATATATCTTCTGCATATAACTATCATCTAATCATGCAATAAAAGTCTGATATTATTCATTGTTTCACCTTAAATAGCACTACAAAAATGACTAATTTCTTTTCTTTATCATTTATAACCCGCCTTGATTGGGTTTATTAGGTATATTCTTGTAGTGCTTCCAATATAACCAATAATGTCCAAGATTTTTTTTCTCATAATCAGGTTTTACTGCTATTTATATGCTGTTCTTTTTATGCTTAGTCGGTGGAAAATTATGTCCATCCATCACTTCAAGAACAACGAAATGGGTACGGTAAAACTCCTAGAGAGGTGTTTACCAAAGAACACGAGAAATTAGTGGAAAAAGGTGAAAAATGGATGAAAGACACTGCTTCATCATGCTCAATTGTAGCTGCACTCATAATCACAGTAGTCTTTGCAGCAGCTTTCACTGTACCAGGTGGCAATAAAGAGAATGGGACACCCATTTTCTTGCAGAGCATAGCTTTCATAGTCTTCGCTGTATCGGATGCACTGGCACTCTTTTCTTCCATTTCTTCAGTGCTGATGTTCTTGGCAATCCTCACTTCACGTTACTCCGAAGATGATTTTTTAGAGTCACTGCCAAAGAAGTTAATGGTTGGCCTTATCACCTTGTTCTTTTCTATTGCAAGCATGATGGTAGCCTTTGGTGCAACCTTTTACATTGTTTTTTCTAACTCATGGAAAGGGGTTATAATTAAATGCAGTTTCAATCACCAAGAGCATACAAGATAAAAAGTTAACGAATATGCAAGCACATGAAATAGTCAGAATCATGTGTCATAACAGAGTTATTTGGAGCCGTGCTGAAGCAAAGCCATTACATACACCAGTTTTAACAGCCGCAACATTAGGGATTTACGAGCTTGTCAATGAAATTATGAAGGCCTATTTCTTCTCGTTTGTTTTCGCTAAAAATGATGATGATGACATACTTCGACTTGCAATTCTAAATCGCCACGAAAAAGTATTTGGTTTGTAAATCGAAAAAATATGTTACTTACATGGGACGACGACCTGAAGAAAGTGGCCGACATGAGAGCTAAAAAAGACAACATTTTGCATTCCGCTGGAAGGTTTGTTCCTTCAAATTAAATTCCGGGTCCCGCATTGCAGATGCAGAGGGAGCTACAATGGTTTAAGGTGACCATCCAACCAAGCAATGAAACTCTTCAATCTAAGGCTCGAAACTCATGAAAAAAATGAGAAAAAAAAAATATATATAACATGTAGTCCTTAATATTGTCCATCATTTTCTTACCTATTAAGCTAAGGTTTTATGTATATATGTTCAGGCTGTGGAAAGTTTTGTTCATCCATCTCATCAAGAACAGTGAAACAAGTCCAATAAAACTCCTAGACAAGTGTTTACCGAATCACACAATAATTTAATCAGAGAAGGTGAAAAATGGATGAAGGAGACTGCTTCGTCCTACACAGTTGTCGCTGCACTCATAATCACAATAGTCTTTGCTGCAGCTTTCACAATACCGAGTGGCAATGACTCTGCTAAAGGGATTGTTGGAGATCTCATATCGACTAGGCACACTCAAGCCAATGGGTTTATAAGAGTTGACAATCCTCCCACTCAATAAGGCCTTTTGGGTGAGGAGTGAGACCCAACTCCAACAAGTGGTATCAGAGCCAGCCCCATTTGAGCTGAGTGATTGACTTGCGGTGGGCTGCCAAACTACCTCCATTCATAGGCAAGTGGACCATATGGGCTTGACCGTGAGGGGGAGTGTTGGAGATCCCATATCGACTAGGCACACTCAAGCCAATAGGTTTATAAGAGTGGGCAATCCTCCCACTCAATAAGGCATTTTGGGTGAGGAGTTAGGCCCAACTCCAACAAGAGGGATGCCCATTTTCTTGCACAAACCATCTTTCATAGTGTTTGTCATATCAGATGCATTTGCATTCTTTACTTCCACTGCTTCACTACTGATGTTCTTGGCAATCCTCACTTCGCGTTATGCAGAAGAAGATTTTTTGGAGTCCTTGCCAAAGAAGTTAATCATTGGGCTAGTCACCTTGTTCTTTTCTATTGCAAGCATGATGGTAGCATTTGGTGCAACCATTTACATATTTCTTTCCCATCCATGGAAATGGACCATCATTCCAATTTCCCTTCTTGGTTGTCTCCCTGTATCCTTATTTGCTCTTTTGCAGTCCTCTGTTGGTTGAGATGATCTCTTCAACTTACGGACCAAGCATTCTACAACCAACCAAGTAATTCCCAAGAAGAGCTACAAAGCAGTAGATTACTTTAATGGTACTAACTTTAAATTACACGTTCTTTTCCCTTTGGTTTATTTGTAAAATGAGAGTAAATGAAAAATTAAGAATTACATGTAGGCCATAAGGCCTAAGTTATTAGAAATTAATGAAATTGCTGTGGCATTTTCTTTTTTAACTTAAGGGGTTTTATGCTTTACTCGTGGTGTACTGGTGCTATGATTGAGACTTCTGAAATTAAATCTAACTCTCTGTGTTTAGAAAAGACTAATAAGAAAATGGTAAGGTGGGTTAAACGGAACTCCATGTTTAGAAAATGACTAAAAAGCTAGTTCAAGAGAGGAGAGAACCTAACTACATATATTATATACCATAATAAGTAACAACTCACCCTTAAAAGCTAGCTCTAGGTTGGTAATGTGGGACAAATAGGATTTGGAGCCACTTGGAGATATGGGACAGATAGGATTTGAAGTCTCCCTTGCGTGCAGGGGCTTAGAGCCTCCCTCTGGCAATGTGGGACAAATAGGATTTAGAGCCTCCCTTGCCTGCGGGTCTGATACCATGATACTTGCCTAGAACTTACTTTTAAAAGCTCGCTCGTGAGAGGAAAGAGTCCAACCCATTTTTTGCCATTTTTTGGATTAAAAATATATGGAAATTTAATCAAACTGGCATATTGGATTAATAAAAAATACATAAAAAAGATAAAAATTTAATCAAAATATGGCTTTTCCCATTTTTGCCAATTGGGCTGGTCAAGTAAATGGGCATTTTTTGGAATAATGGGCTTTACTTTGTTTGAATATTTAATATTTGGTAGCCTATGAAGATGGCTTGACTTGGTGACTGATAATTCACTTGTTGCATCTAAACAAACTCTACTTTAGACATCCATCTGGTTAGGCTCGCTCAAACATTTATATATGGATCTGAAGTACTATCAAAATACTTGAAACATAAAATATCCCCTTTATGACTTTGATAAATCTTGTAATTTTGATGACTGTTTTAACCATTTGAGCCTTTTACTTTATTTCTTCTTTCTTCCATATTCAAAATCCAACCCAAAATTTGAACTATGAGATGAAGTGACCCATCTTTCCAAAAGCCCAAAATCATTTTTTATCCTCAAACCTGAATATCTCGAGATTTGGCATTCTCTCTCTCCCTCTCTCTCTCTCTCTCTCTCTCTCTGTCTTTCTTCTCGATCTTCACCTACAAATCTTCTCGAAAAATTTCTAAAATATTAAGTCATTAATACTATAAATTAATATATTTAATTATTTATACTATATCTAACTTTATAATTAATGTAACTAATAGTTATTGGATTGAATATTTATGGTCTAGCCCAGCTCTCCTGTCTTCTCTCTCATTGGTTCTAGGCTCATTTATTTTCTGTCGCCCAAATTCACTAATAATTTGTATATGGATCTGTCTAAATTTTCTAAATTAAATGCCTTTCTAAACTTTCTGCAATTTATAATTAATGTAATTAATAGGTGTTGGATTGAATATCTGACTGTACAATTAATGCAATTAATAGTTGTTGGATTGAATATCTATCTTTGTAATTAATGTAATCAGCATTTGTTGGATTGAATATTTATGTTCTGGCGCCAAGAGCTGTCGTAGCCTCTCTTCTCTCTCATTAGTTCTTGGCTCATTTATTTTCTTTTCATCTTCCCTTCTTTCCCATTACAATTATTCTATCACCCAAATTCACTAAAACGTAATTCATGCACCTCCTCAACTTTTCTACAACACTAGTTCCAAAGGATGAATTGTTATTCGTATGCTTTCTAAATTTTCTGCAATTTGTAGGGACCCTCTTACTAGAAACATTATTATTCTTGTTGAAACGTCTCCTTTATAACTTTATAATTAATGCAAGGGTAGTGCTATTTGTATCAATTGATCCGGATAAAAGTAGTGCTATTTGAATCAATTGATTCGGATCAAATTTTTTTTCAGAAAAGTAAATTTATAAATTTACTCTTTAGTAAACGAAAATATTTTTGGCTCCTAAACCTTGCTTTTTGGAGGAAAAACAATTTGCAACATTAACATTATGAAATGATGAGAGAGAAGTAATTATTATTTCAATATTTTCAAGTTTCAACAATAGAGATTGGAAAGTAAGAATTAATTTATTGGGAAGTTGAAAAATAGGAATTAATTTATTGTAATAATTAAATTGCTTAAAAAAACAAAACAAAACAAAACATGTAAGTGTAATCCTTATTGCAAAGTATATGTTTTTTTCTTGTGTCAACATGTGTCACCCGTATAATCAAGTGTGAGAGAACCGTATTGAATTTACAGTATAGACTTGACTACGTAATCTGCACACTCATATAATATATTATTTCAAATTCCAAGTCTGGGCAATTAACCTTAAGTCCGCACACTAAAATCTTATAATATATTATTTTAAATTCCAAGTCCTGGCAATTGATTTGAAATGTAAAAAATTTGATTCTTTAAACAAAGAATATTAAAGAAACCATGGGGGATGCGTTGCACATCTAACAGCTGGAAGTCATATATGAAGTAACTAAGTCACACACATTATCTTAATTACGATATAAATATTAATTTAAGAAGGTTTCATCTTCTATATTTGCCTTAATGTGTGTTCTAACGATATAGGTAAAAGATATTAGAAGATAAAAAACTTTGGCATTTTGATATATTAAAATAAAATTTTGTCCCGGGGAAGTTATTGCTTTTCCAAGAGATCAAATGAATGATTACATTTGTTTCTATGTATTGGCTTTAGACTTTTAAGATCCTTATAAATAGTACTTGCAATTAACTGAAAGAGCACCGGGATTTTGAAACAATGGACAAAGGTAGCCTAGCTCAGAGAAGACCCCAGGTCCGATCTGATCGGTTAAACCGACTAGACTGGACCGAGTTTCAAAACATTGTTAGATATAATCAAATAACAAAAATCCTCCCATAATTGTAATAATAACATAAATACCCAACAGTTAAGTTTTTATGTTAAAATAAACAACAAAGGGGTAATTTCATAAATATTTATTAACTCATCATATTGAAAATTCTAATTACACATTAACAACTCACTAATGGCAAAAAAACTTCTTTTATTTCTGAAATTTAAAGGAAACTGTTGTTATTTAATTAAACATCAGGGGTTGAGGAAAACCCCTTTATTAATCATAAACCTATCTACACTCAAAAGACATAATGCGAGCGAGAAAAGAAGACACTGTAACAAGCCATCTTTTTATTGATTTCACTTTAATCAAGTTTTTTGTTTTTTCACTTTCAGGGGAGGTTGGAACTTTGTTTTTGTTGGTCATATTACATATTTTTGCTTTTTGAGAAAAATGAACGATAAAATGAAGTGATTGATCCTGTTCACTTAACTGAATTGGCCATTAGAAATGGAGACGAAATCACTGAGATGAAGCAAGGTGGTGATCCTCGTTATCAAACTGCAAATTTGCAAAGCCATGAGAATGATGAATCTATGAATGCAGAGGGTAAGTTACTTAATACAAACCTATTATTCTGAGTAATATATTATCATGAGTGATATATTTACTTGCAGGGGCTCTAATTGGGATGTAAAATTAATCTTATTTGTGAATACAAAAATTGATATAATATTAATAGTGTAAAAGCGATCTGATCATGTTCGAATTAAGAGTGGCAAGCATAATTGCACAATATCCTGACAGTGAACCGACTTGGTACATCTTTGGCTTTAAGAAATTTTATAATTATCAATTTGACATAATTCATTATAAAAACACGTTCTCCTTTTGAAAATAACATTTAAATAAGAATTGAGTTAGTAAAATTTTTTGTTAAGTGTGAGATTGGTGAGATTTTGAGTAAGATTAGCAAAGAACTAAACGAAGACAAGAGAAACAAGAGAGAGAGTGCGTGATAGCTGAATACTGTGTATTTACTTTACTAATTTCTTTTCTTAGTACATTTTGCTTAATTGTACACTTTTATAGTGTTTACATGAGTGTAACAATATACTAACTAATCTTGTTACAGCTTAACCGAAAGCTAACAGAAATGTAACAACTAACAACATTAGGAAATGACAGTTTTACCCCTTAACTAACATCTTCCCTTAAGCTGAACCTGGGAACCTTGAACTACTGCAAGCATTTTCACTCTTTTACTAACATCTTCCCTTAAGCTGAACCTGGGAACTTTGAAACATTCCTGCTTAAAAGATTCCTCTGTTTTCATTCCTCTATAGCTTTAGTTTCCAAAAGAAAAACTATATCAACATGAACACTTGAACTGATCATCATCACATCACATATTCAGTACAACTTCATGTAACAATTTGATCCCCAACATGAACACCTGAACTGATCATCATCACATCACATATTCAGTACAACTTCATGTAACAATTTGATCCCTAACATGAACACTTGAACTGATCATCATCACATCACATATTCAGTACATCTTCATGCAACAATTTGATCCGCAACATGCTCATTCACTACAGCTCCGTGTGTCTCAATACTTCTGGAGCAGTTCCTTCATCACATCACCAACTACAACTTAATTAGATACATCAAGGAACTATTAATCAAACATACAACTCCATGCATTACAATCTCCTGAAGCAGTTCCATCATCACATCACAAACTGCAACTCAATCAGATACATCAAAGAGACTTCCATCATCACATCACAAACTGCAACTCAATCAGATACATCAAATAGACATCAACAAAACATCCAACTTCCATGCATCACAATATTCCAGAAGCAGTTCCTGCAAAGAAGAATCAACAAACATACAACTCCATCCATCACAATATTCCATCCATACATCACAATGTTCCTGGAGCAGCTTCTTCATCATACCACACAAAAAAAATTAGTCAGAAAAACCAAAAAGAACATCAACTAAGTCATTCTAACTGTGTTTCCAGTTTGTGCACTAGTAATAGATTTATCAGCAGCAGCAGCAACATCAACTAAGTCATTCTAACTGTGTTGCCAGTTTGTGCACTAGTAACAGATTTATCAGCAGCAGCAGCATTCTCATTAGCAGACTCAGTACTAGAATGGCCAACCACAACATTCAGTTTGTCTTGAAGAGCCTCAAATTTGGTGGTTGATAAGGCTTTAGTAAAAATGTTAGCTTTTTGGTAATCCGTGGGCACATATTGAACTTTGAGATAGTTGGCTGCAACCTGCTCTCAAACATAATGAGCATCCAACTCTATGTGTTTGGTTCGTGCATGAAACACTAGATTAGAGGCTAAGGATCCAGCACTTTGATAGTCACACCAAATAATAGGTGTAGTGTGCAGAATCAGTCCCATTTCAGAGAAGAGACTTCTAAACCAGGCTATTTCTATGGCTCCTTTTGCAAGGGCACGATATTCAGCTTTTGTGGAGGAAAGAGCTACTACTCTCTGTTTCCTAAAACTCCACTGAAGTAGATTTGGACCAAGAAACAAACAGCAGCCACTTGTGGATCTTCTGTCTTGGATACAACCTGCCCAATCAGCATCTGTAAAATAGTCTAAGTGAAACCTATGAATTTTTTGAAATGTAACACCAAAATCCATGGTTCCTTTGATGTATCTAAGAAGTCTTTTGCAGGTCTGCCAGTGAAGTTGAGTAGGGGCCTTAAGAAACTGACTTAACTTGTTCACCGAATAAGCAATGTCAGGCCAAGACAAAGTGAAAGCACCCATTTGAGTATCAAATGTAACAACATCTTGCATTTATCTGGAAAATCAATATGTGCAAATCCTTGATACAGCATGGCGGATGCAGGGGCCCGACGGGTTTCTATATGTTCAAGGCGAAACATCTTCTATGCATATAGGATCTACCACTACTCTAAAATTTCAAAATGACTTAGAATTTCCTGGCTTTAGATGCTTACAACCTTATGATTAGTTAAATGAAGGTAACTCTGGTATTATCTTTGAATATATTTAGATTAGCAAAACTGAAAACAGAACAAAAGCAGAGCAGCTGAAGGCTTACAGCATGGAATTCCATTTACTTAGCAAGAAAGAATCCAGTAAGCCTTCAAAGTAAATTAATTATCCAACAGAAAAAAGCTAGAGACAAGCATGGAACATGTTAATGATCCTTCACATTTAGAATCAACGAAAACAGCTACTGAAGAAAGGAATGAGCGGAAAGAAGTAAGAGTTAAGTGTTGGACCTTTCCTATTTTATTGCTGTAACTTCTTTTTAATTTTTATTCTTCAATCTTATGTTTCTTTTTGTAAAGGTTCTGTCTCTTTCTTAAATTCAAATCTATTCCCAGGCCCTAACAATTATTTTTTTGTTAAGATTTGAACTTTGATTGTCATGGAAGAAATCAACCGATCCAAATGAGAAAGCAAATTTGATTATCAAGGAAGAAATGAATTTCATGCAAAATTATAATTAAAGTTTCATCCTGGGGAAGTTTTTGCTTTTTCAAGAATAAAATTATGATTAGAATTGTTCTATGAATTGGCTTATCCTTTTGAGATATTTACAAATAGCTTAACCCGAGAGAGTACTCTTCGTCCCAAACGGCCAATGAGGGATCCTACTCAACATTCCACTGATTTAGTTATAGTAAGGAGACAAAAATTACTGAGGTTAAGCAATATGAGTCCAGTGAACAAACAGCTGAATCGCAGAGCCTTAAGAGTGGACCTGTGAATGTGGAAGGTAAGTAAAGACATTGATATTAAGTGAAGGTCGCATTCTTTGTATTCATTAATATCTTTTTAACTCTTCATTTGTTGATTCATAACTAATACATCATAATTTGGATTTAATATAGCGAGCACGAGGGGAGACCAAACCAGTGAGTTAAGCAAGGTGATTCTGGTGAACAAACTGCAGAATTGCAAAGCCACAAGAATGTGACCTGTTAATGCAGAAGGTAATTAATTAGTTTGAAATACATTGATTCGGAGTGAAAGTTCTTTCTATTGATCTATCTGTATATAATTCGGAATTCATAGTGAACGAAACGAGTGAGGAAATGAGGATCATATCGGTACCGTCATAAACAAGCGTACAAGAATGATTGGAAGAGTTGAAGATTTCATAACCAAAGATCCCAGGTGTTGGCCGCCAAGATTAAAGTATATCGTGAGGAAACAGTTATCCACATAATTACTCTTAATTTAACGCCCCCTTTTCGTTCTGGAGAAGATTGCATCAAAAGTTGGTCCAGAAGCACTAGAAAATTGAAAAATGAAACGGGCGGACGCCTATATTCCCTGCTACATATGGCAATACAAAAGCTGCTAAAGCGTTTGTGCTTAAGCCAAAGATTTCGAACGTAAGAGACAGCGAGGGTTTACTTCCAATTCACCATGCTGCAATCCGTGGCCACAAGGAAACAATTCAATATTTACTCTCAGTGACAGGAGTTCCCTCAGTGACACGAACGGTGTCTGGCTGCTTACGAATCTCATCAATTCTGTCTCTATGGTCAGTGTAAATTTGATCTTACAGCAATACTTTAACCTGGTTTTTCATTGTTAATCTCTACCCCATTGATTTACAGGAATAGCTTTAGATTTATGAAGCGATATCCAAAGTTAGCACGTAAAAACCAGGACAGAAAACGGATATTGAGCATACTGGCTAATAAGCCTTCGGCGTTTGAAAGTGGGAGTCGGCTTGGTATTGGAAACGCTTAATCTATGATGTTAGTGGTAACAATCTTCTTTTATTTTTTATTTTCACAAAGTCTTCCATTTGTTCACAAAAGACACAAAAATCTTTGAATGGTGGTTATTAAATTTGTATTATAAGGGAAGTATAAAATCTGTGCAGTGATTCCGGTGCAAGAAGAACAATTCCTGGCCCTCAAAATGCGGATGGAGACATGGAGAACCCTGTTGATGATAGATCAAGCAAGTTAGTAACAAATTCACATCTAATTTCTTCAACAAATCTCTATTGCCTTCGGTTTGTACTCATATCGCTCCCTCTGTTTATAATATATCAGTGTATGTTCCTTCTAAATCATCAATCAATGTTACTTAGTAATTAACTTATGATTCTGAAACAATTTTGCTTATGTAACACAGGTGCTTTCCACAAAAAATTGCATCTAGATGCTGGAATGCTCTCGTGCTGCTAGGTAACCATTCATTATACATTCTCTTTAAAGGAATGTCTCTTGTAGGATATCTTGATTATCTCTTTCATTGACTTGATGTGAATTGCAGTCCCGGCATTAAAGCATAAGTGAAACAAGTTAATGCATATGCAAACCCTTAAAATAGTCAGACCATGTGTCATGAGGAGTGATTTGGAGTAATAAAAGCTAAGAAATCACTGTGGGAACCGATGCTTACAGCCGCAACATTAGGGATTTACGAGCTTGTCTATGAAATCATGAAGGCCTGTTTCTATTCTTTTACTTTCCTTGCCGATAATCAAGATGATGTATTTCGTCTTGCAATTCTTCATCGCCATGAAAATGTTTTTAGTCTTGTAAATAAAAGAAATGTTTTACTTTCGTGGCACCCGGACATGAAGCAAGTGGCCAATATGAGTGTAAAAACTAAAAACATTTTGCATTTGGCTAAAAGTTTAAACCTTCTAG